GGCGGTCTGTGGCGGCTCGATGTCGATCTCGCGGGATGAGGCTCATGTCGACGACGATGTCGCCGGGCGACGGCCCAGCCGGGCGATGCCGTAGCCGCCGGGAGCGGACGGACGGGGAGAGCGCGTGGGAGGCGCAGAAGGTGACGACGGCGCTGACGTCCTGGGCGTCGAGCGGAGAGACGACGAGGCGGTGGTTGGGGGTGAGCTTGCCGTTGAACGTCCGCGAGCGTTCGGCGAATCTGTCAAGTGGGGTGAGATCGGGGGATTTGCAAGGGAGAGGATGAGACGTACTCGGGATCATCTGGGAGCAAAACGGGGCCACGGACGCGTTCGGCCAGCTCGTCGCGGAGTCGGGACAGCTGGGAGCGATCTGTTGCGAGCAGGGATGGACTGGCCATCGAGGCGGAATGTCTGTGCGGGGAAATGGAGGGAAATTGAGCGTTAAGTAGGAGTGCAGGCTTGGCGATGTGTGATGGCTATGACGGTAGGTATCGGCAGGAGAAGCAGATGGGTTATATGTGTGTGAGAAGGGAGTGGAAATCAGAGAGCTGTCTGCAATGAGCCGAGCTGGTGCCTGGCGGTGACAAGAGCAACTCCGCATCTCGCACCTTTACGTGAAGCTGTGCCACTAGGTTCTGCCAAGGACCCACCGCACAACGTCGGCAAAACGTTCCAACAGGAAACATACGGACACGGCTCTCGCGAGGCGGATGGGCGCGCAACGTCTAGCTCAGAAAATTTGTGACGTCTAGGGGCCCTGACGAGTTCATTAAAGTGACAGTTCCCGGGCGAGGTCAAGCGGCGGCCAACTCGGAGATCTCGTCATGGGCGTCTGATCGACGAGAGAAATTCACCCACCGTCATTGACCCCCAGCCTCGCGCCCTCACAATGCCACCAGCACGCACGCAGAAGCAGAACCGTTACGCGCACGCATCGTCATCCAAACCTAAGCCGAACCACCCAAAGCCGAGGCGGAGGCATGCAAACGGGGATGCGAGCACCCAGGCCGCCCCTGGCATGCAGAAGGCCAAGGCTGCGCTGAGACAGACCAGGAGGTTGTTGGCCAAAGTACGTGTGATCACGAGTGCCATGGACGCACATGCAACTCAAGGCTGTCAACACGGCCTAGGACAACCTAGCTGCAGACGTCCGAGTAGAGACGGAGCGGCGGCTCAGGGCCCAGGAGGCGGACCTGGCAAAGGCCGAGCGGGCGCGGAAAGAGAGAGCGTTGGCACAGCGGTACCACAAGGTCAAGTTCTTTGGTGCGTGCAGCTCCACACTTTCTCGCCCAGCGTTGAGACTCAAAGGCGGCTTCGGCTTCGCCCCAGAGCGACGAAAGGTCACGCGGAAACTGGACCAGACAAAGCGCGAACTCGAGGCATGCACGGACAGCAAGGAGAAGAAGAAGCTGGAAGAGGCTCTCGCTGAGCTCCGAGTCGACTTGAACTACATTCTTGTACGCCCGTCTTTCAGTCACTCACCCACCTTCCGCCCCTCTGACCGTCCTCGCGTTTCCTAGCACTACCCAAAACTGGATAAATACATCTCGCTCTTCCCGCCAGAAGCCCGGAAAAAGTCTGGCGACGTCAAGGGCAAGGAGAAGGCATCGGAGGGGCAGGTCGAAGAGCAAGCGGAGGAGAAGGCCGCGACAGACCTTCGGCGTGAGGAGATACGCAGTCAGGTACGCGAGGCCATGGAAAAAGGCGAGTTGAGTGCGGAACCGGAAGTCGAGGGTCGCAAGACTGCGAGGAGAGGTACAGTGGGTGTGCAAGATGCCGAAATTGGGCAAAGCAGGAAGAAAGGGGTGGAGGAGACGAGAAATAGTGGTCAGAAGATTAACGAGGACGACTTCTTTGACAACGACGGAGAAGAGAGCGGAGGTTCGGGGGAAGAGAATGAGGACGAGGACGAGGACTGAGTTCTCATACGCCGAGATTGTCGACTGTGGCTATTCGTCGCATTTTCCTGCTCCTGCGCCATGTTCTATCGCGAAGTTGCATGTGGGCGCTTGAGACGATGTGGTCGCGGTCCTGAATATGCGAAATTTTACATATCCTTCGAGGACGGGCAAAGCCCACCGTATAGCATGGCATTCACGAGACATGTGGTAGTCATCTGATCAATTATACGCAAGATGCATTGCTGCTCTGTGCTGCAGATGTGACGCTGATCAATGAGCGCCCATAATTATTTCTGTAGGTTTGTCCGGTACTCATTTTCTTCATGACCTTCCACTCGACATATCCCTCATCGAGAACACGCTCTTCCCACAGTCATATCCACCACCAAAATGCGAAACCTGTCTCTCCTCCGAACGTCCCACATCCCGCTGCCGGAAGGCTTGCCCTCATCAAGCTCCATCGCTGCAGTAACTCTCGACTTGGACGAAGACGTGACGTACGTCGCGGTCGAACGGCAGACACCGGATGCGGACGTCGAGGTTGAGGTCTGGAAAGTGGGCGGCGCGGCGAAGTGGGAGAGCGAGCTGCTTGGGGCGCGTTTCGCCTTGCATGAACGTTGCTGAAAAAAAAACTGACGCATGCATCTGCAGGACATGACTCTCGTTACCACTGCGAGGTTTCAGAGCTACCTGGCCTCGAACCCGTGGTCGACGTCGACAAAGCCGTCGGAAGTTGTCTCTTTCAAGTTGCTGCCGGACACAAGGACGCTCGTCCTTATCATGAGGGGAGGAGACATCGCGACTGGGCTTCCGGACGAGGATATGTCTGTGGTACGTGCAGCATCTCATTTCGCATCAATATGCGCTCTCAAATACGCAGATGGACGCTGTAGGAAACGTCGAAGCCGGAATCCAAGCTGCATCCTGGAGCCCCGACGACTCCCTCCTCGTTCTCGCCACCGGTACGCCATAACCCCTCTCCAGACACACACACACACAGTCCTCTGCGCTCACTGACACCCCCCCCTCCCCAGGGGACAGCAAACTCATCCTGATGACCAGCAGCACCTTCGACGTCGTGTCCGAGGGCGCGCTCGAGCGCACAGACTTTGGCGACGACAGCCCCATCAACGTCGGCTGGGGCTCGAAGCAAACGCAGTTCCACGGCTCGCTCGGCAAGGCCGCCGCCGCCGCGCCGGCCGCAGCGCCTGCCCTGGTGGGCAGCAGCCCGGACGACGACGCGCTCCCGCGCATCAGCTGGCGCGGCGACGGTGCGTGCTTCGCCGTGTCGTCGCTCGCCCCGTCCGCGCCGACGACGACGGACGGCGATCCGGGCGCGGGCGCGGGCACGCGAAGGCGCGTCCTCCGCGTGTACTCGCACGCGGGCGTGCTGCAGAGCACGTCCGAGCCCACCCCGGGCCTCGAACACGCGCTCGCGTGGCGGCCCGCGGGCAACTGGATCGTCGGCACGCAGCGGTACGGCTTCCCCGGCGGCGGGCAGGGCCGCGAGGGCCGACACGACGTGGTCGTGTTCGAGCGGAACGGCCTGAGGAGAGGCGAGTTTGGGATTTCGGCTGTTTCTGCGCCGCGGACGAAGAGCGAGGGCGGCGAGAGGAGGTGGGGTTACAAGGTGCGGGAGGTTGGGTGGAGTGCGGACTCGAATGTTTTGTCTGTTTGGGTGGAGAAGGACGAAGGTGATGTTGGTAAGTTGCGTGTGTGCGTGTCTCCTGACCTAGGAATCTGAGCGTTTTTTGATAGTGCAGCTCTGGACTACTGGAAATTACCACTGGTATGCCATCTGCATCGCCTTTTGGCTCAAAGCAAGTATGACACGCGCGTAGGTACCTGAAGCATGAGGTCGTTGCCTCCTCTTTGGATGGCAGGCCAGGACGCTTCAGCTCAATGTTGTGGCATCCGGAAGACTCATCCAGAATCATCTTGACGACAGCTTGTATGTCATTCGCCTTATCAGAGGATATACAGCTATTGACCGTATGCGCAGCAGAGATCATCCAGCGGAGTTATCTTTGGGACACCTGCGCCTCCCGCAGTCGGCCACCGAACGACTCTGGCTCGGTAGCTGTTTTAGACGGAAGTGCGTATATTATTTGTTCGATCTTAATCTCAACAACAACAACACATACACCTAGCGCAAATTCTGCTCACGCCTTTCCGCACCCAGAACGTCCCGCCACCCATGTCTTCCTTCCAACTCCCGCTTGCCGCAACCCCCACCGACGTGCCTAGCCTCCGGCCGCGCTTGCCTGTGCATGTCTCGTTCTCACCGGACAAAGATGTTCTGACCCAGCTTTGGGAGACTGGCCACGTTGAAGTCACGGATCTGCGAACGCGCCTCAGCCCTGGCAGGGGCAAGATCATGGACCCAGTTCCCGTATGGAAGGGGGCTATTGGGGACGAGGCGCATGCGTATCGCCAAACCTTGGTGCTCAAGACTGCCGGCAGTGATGACGGAACTGTCAGGGTCATATTGCTGGGATCGGGCAAGAGCGTGGATGCGAAGGACACCGTCGTTATCGCCTCAGTCGGCAGCGGCAGCATTACTGAGCGCGTACAGGTTGAAATGCCGTACAGGAATGGTAGGCTTGTACCGTCCTACGAGCAAATAATGTGGCAGTCTCCCGAGGGCGGAATCTTAGCCGGTGCGTTGCGCCATGTATTCCAGATTCAAAATGCCAAGGGCTGACCATACGACCAGTGGATGTCTCCGCGGAACTGTCTTCGCCCGCGTCCTCCTTCCCTGAGTTCTGTGCTTTCTCTGAGCACCTTGTCGTACCCACCTCTGAGTCGCCCACTTCGCTCTTCCTCGGCTTATCGTCCTCCAGCAAGCTATACGCTTCCAACGAGCTGGACGCACGCCACCTCCTCGCGTCCAACGCCACCTCGTTCACCGTTGCCTCTGGCTTCCTCGTGTACACCACTACTGCGCATGTATCGCACTATGTGCCCTTAGCTACTCTCTCTGCCCTGCTCCAAAAACTTAACGCAGGCGAGAGCGTGAAGGAGGAAGACACAAGGTGGGAGACGCGCCGGGTCGAGAGAGGATCGAGGATCGTCACGGCTGTGCCGAGCACGATGAGCCTTGTCCTACAGATGCCGAGAGGAAACCTCGAGACGATTAACCCTAGGCCGCTGGTTATGGAGATTGTCAAGCAGGACATCGACAAGTGCGCCTATTGCATTCCTGGGTCAACCATCCATGAATTGCTGACGACTGTTCTGCAGTATGGATTATGCGAAGGCGTTCGCGTCATGCCGAAGACACCGCATTGATCTGAATGTTCTGGTCAGCCATAAACGCGACGAGTTCATGCGGAATATTCCGGTTTTCGTGGACCAGGTGAAGGACGTCGACCATATCAACTTGTTCCTCACTAGTCTTGGGTGTGTGAAGACTTTTTTCGCAGTTGCTTTGGCTCACTGGTCATGAATATGTAGCCAGGGCATCCTGCCAGATGACATTGTCAACGAAGTATGCGATGGTGTTCGTAAAGAGCTGGAGAAGAAGAGCTTGAGCACCTACGTCAACTCCATCCTTACCGCACATGTCATGAAAAGGCCCTCTGACCACGAGGCTGGCCTGGCAGAACTCCTGAAGCTGAGAGGCCCGTCTTTGTGCTCTTGTCTCTCGAGCATCCCCGCTTACTCTTGTCGTACAATCTGCAGAGACCCAGCCGGACCTTGTCGAAGATGCGGTCAAGTACATCATCTTCCTCGTCGACGCCAACAGCCTCTTCGACACCGCGCTGGGCATGTACGACTTTTCGCTTGTGCTCATGATCGCACAGCACGCGCAGAAGGACCCGCGCGAGTACCTCCCCTTCCTGCGGGAGCTCCGTGCGCTGGACAAGTTCTACCAGCGGTTCCGGATCGACGACTATCTCAGGCGACACGCAACGGCTCTCCGGAACCTGAGTCTAGCGGGCGAGGAGCGCTTCGAGGAGGCGCTAGCGTATGTGGACAGGCACCAGCTTTATGAGGCCGCGCTGGACATTTGGAGGGATACCGATAAGTATCAGGCGAGCGAGCTTGTGAGAATTGCTCTCGAGGCAATAATGCTGATCGATGTCTGTAGACTGCTTTGGGCATATATGGTGACTGGTTGCACGAGCGGCGAGAGTTTGCGGAAGCTGCCTTTGGTATGTTGGTCCTCAATTCATAGCCAACATGTCACTGATGTCTGAACTCGGCTAGTGTTTCGACAAGCTCAAAAACTCTCAAAAGCCATGCTTTCGTATGAGAAGGCGCTACTGTGGCAAGAGCTCTTTGACGTTGCGCTACAGCGGAACACCTCAGCCGAGGATCTCAGTACATTAGCATATCGAGTTGCTGGTCGGTGTATTTCGCGGTATAACTATAATTATCGATCACTGACTTGTAGTAGAGGACCTGGGATCGAAGAAGCGGTATCAAGAAGCAGCTCGTGTGCTCCTGGATTATACCAAAGACGTACGAGAGGCCGTCATCGCACTCGTGCAGGGTAATCAGTTCTCCGAGGCGCGACGAGTGGTATGTTCTATTGATTAGCTTACTACATTCTACCTTCAATCGTGCTCATTCTTATTCTTTTCAACAGGCCACCCTTCATTCGAAATCAGAGCTCCTTGAAAATGTCGTCTACCCAGGCGCGCTTGAGACTCGTGTGCAGATCGCCGAGGACCTCAGTGAGATGCGGGACCAGCTCCGCAAGCAGTTCAACAGGATAAAAGAGCTGCGGGTAAAGAAGGTCGAGGAGCCAGGTCTGTGCCGACTCCGACTCAGCCGATGGTGGGCTCATGTCGGTTTCCAGAGGCTTTCTATGGTACTCAGGACGACAATGCGGACCTACACAATGTAGATGTCATGACGGACGTCTCTATGGCACCAACGGCGTTCACCCGGTACACTGTCGCCGCGTCGGCGATATCGAAGACATCTTCGAAGTAAGTCTGCTCAGGAACATATAACAGCAGTAGATGTTGAAGACCATTTGCCAGACGCTCTTCACGGTCGAAACGTAAGATGGAGCGCAAGGTTGGCTCTGGTCGGAAGGGCACCGTGGACGAGGAGGAGTATCTGCTGCGTTCAGTCTCGAAATTGGTCGGCAGATGGGAGAGTGTTAGAAGTACGTTTCGTGATATACATGACTGCGCTGATTCACTTACGAGCGCCATGTAGCCGACGCAACTCATCTCCTCCCGCACCTCTTTCAATTTCCGACATCAGCACACCGTGATGAGGGTTTCTCGCTGCAAAGAGAGTTGGCCGACTTTGAGACGGAGCTGCGGGCATCCATCGACGAGATTTGGACGAAGACATCGGCGACCCAGCTGCCAGGCGAGGGAGACGCAGCGTCTGTCCTCCGGGGTTCACCTGTGATGGGCGGCCTCGAGGCTATTCAAGAGGGCTGGGCGAAGCGGATGCGCGGGTACGAGATGAACGCACATCTCGATCCGCTCGACAAGGTCTTCAAACCGGAGATAGGCAAGGTCGAGTGGAAGGATAAGTTGGCACAGGTCTGAGTGAGGTGTTCTTCTGGCTTGGGCTGTGTACATCGTGTCTATTTTTTGTAGCCATAATTGTACGAATTACAGACAAAGCGTAAAAAATCGTTGTCCAGGATCTAAGTTAACTACATGCAGGCGAACTACTTATTCATTGGGTAATTCTTGCCTTCGCCTCCTTCGCCAACCTCAGCTACAAAAGTCCCTGGACAGCCGAAATCCCTCCTGATCTGTCGAAAAGTACAAGTATATTATTCACTAACCACCCAGAGCTGGTGGACGCAAGCTACTGGCCGCTAGTCAGAGGCTGCAATACAACTTGACGTATATAAATCAAGGCACGAATTGTCCATGTCATACGCAGAATGTCATAACCAACGAACTTATACCCTTCCGGCAGCCGGTAGTTCCCGTATCGGTGTAAATTTGCGCAAGCTTCGGCTCTCCACACAGGGTGGTAAGCACGTTTTTTTCTTGAAGAAACCCAGTCAAAATTGGGAAAACAAGAACCGATTGTTCCCCGGTTGTACATTGGGGTAAATTGGTGCATAAATTGGTGCAAAACCGGCTAAAAGAGGCTGAAACGCGACAAAACTAGTGAAAAAGGAAGGTTTGTCTCCAAGTTTTCTCGAATGAAAACCGGTTAAACACAGGTTCTTGTTCGCCTAGCTTTTGGCTGGTTATGCAAGCAAAAAAAACTGCACCTACCACCCAGTGCCAGTAAGGCACAAGCCCGGGGTGCAATTTCATCCGGTACTCGGATAAAGAGATAGGAGATGCCGAGGATGGCAGGCACCAGCTCTTTCAGCCCAGAAAGTGAAGATAAATTATATATCCAAGAAGAATGCAGCATATGACATATAAGACAGCCGGTCGGAGCAGGCGCGGTATACCAGAATCCCAAGCAGGCGTCAGGCGGATCGGAGGAAGATATTCCATGCACTCAGGACGTAGGACCTGCTTCGTAGAACGTTGGACTGTGAGGCCTGTGAGGCCCCAGGTATCTTGAGAAGTGGTATTTTGTCGCATGGCAGGCCACCTTCTTGACCTCTATGCTTCAGACGTCGGAGAAGCACCCCTAGTCATCGGAGTCCACGACGTTACCACCAGGAAAACAATATCGTCAAGCTAAGCGTTTGTCGGTCGCCAACTGATGCCAACAAAGTACAAGGCGATGGCGACGGGACCCTGCGAAGGCTGACATTGGCAAGTCGGCCTGATACTGTACCTTGGTGGTTGAAGAATAAGGAGGCTTTAGCGCTAAAAGCGCGTTACCCGCAACTCCTACCTCACCGGGGTCTCCGCCGTCTCGTCACTTCACAGAGCTGGATGCCATGGATCCCCGGCAGCGCGAGATTCTTATGAACGTGCCTGCGCACAGGAGCGGACCCGAGATGAGCTTTGAGGTGCATGGTAACGTCGCGCTCGTCCAGACCAGCTCTGCTGAATGTGACCGTGCACCCTCAGGAGATCCGCATACGCGACTACATTACCGCGTACCAGACGACGGGCCACACTCCACAGCCCATACCTGCAGAACCTGCGAACCCCGCCGAGCGTGCGCGTCTGGGCCTGCCACCACTCTGGGTGCCATACTCCGAGGTGAACGGCGTGCCAGTGCCACTCGACATGCAAACAATGCAAAGCATACGTAGCGCCTCCAGGCGTTCGCCAAGCGACCATACTGCGATTCCCGAAGTGCAGGTATTCGCGTCAGCTCCTGTTTTGAACGAGGTTGGGCAGCCGCAATATATGCAGAGCATAGTGTGCCAACACCCATTTAGTGCATTCTCCTCAGAGGTGCGTGTATTCACTCGTGATTTCCCCAATATTCTAACGATAGATCAGGAACTCCGGTACCAGGCCTATTGGATAGGCAAGAAGTACGCTTCAGAAGACGTGCAGAGTTCGTGACTTCCTCCGTACACATGCAGTCTTGGGTGACTAACTTTACCTTGGAAGCTGCTACATCAACATCGGATACTGCAGCGGTGAATAAACCAGCACCTACCGTGCCCGCACCGACATCGAATGGGATAGCGGACGTGTTTCAGAGTATAACATGTCAGCCACAATATACGAAACATAGTTTCGAGGTCCGTCGAGTGCTTCTACAACTCCCGCTGCTGCTCATGTCGAATCCATGTCAGGAACTACGGTTAGCGTGTTATCGGACTCGTCATGAGCTAACTTCTGAGCAGATTGTTCAAACCCGCGCTCTTTGAGATTGCGGCGTTAGACTTCGGGGGTCGCTCGTGGGGTGCTTTACTGTTGGTATTGCGTTCTAGTGTGTGAGAAGAGGAATATCATACCAATGTACGTGATAGTAATTTGTATAACGATACCATGTCTTTACCAGCGGTTTCCTCAAATGTTCTCCGCTGCATGTCGTAGCCAGGTCGAAATATACCCGTTTGTCGGTGCTGATCTGGTACCGTCCAATTATGACGACATCGTAGTGTATTCAAGCGGGAGTCTTCGAATACACATCTCTAGTATCGTTAAATTACAATAAAATGATATAAGCATGTAGTCTCTAGCTCCTCTATGCTCGTGCCAGCCGAGTTCGTAGTTACATCTATGCAGTAATGTTCGGCTTGACGATTTGCGACATCCACGACCACGCCCGCGCGATCTTCTCGACCTTCTCTACCTCATCCTCCGACACTTCACCCTTCCATGTGCTCAGGAAGCCCTCTTCCGTGTCGATCGCGCGCAGAACGCCGTCGACGTCCTTGCCCGTGACGAACGCAAGGTAGCATGCGAGCATGCACATCGCGTCTGTCGGGTGCTCAGGCGGCGTCGCGATCAGAATGCGCACGCCCGAGGGAGCGGTGTGCAGGTGGGGACAGAGCTCAGCGAGGAAGTCACGCGCGGCACGAAGCTGGGCGTCGCTGAGTCCAAGGCCCGCCCGGCGGGAGTTTGAGTCGCGCGGTCCGAACGTAAATCGGAGGTACGTGCAGCGATTCTCGTACGAGCGCGAGACGCCGGACGACTCGCCGTACCGGATGCTGACGATGTGTGTGTACGGCTCGTCCGCAGAGTTGCCCGGCAAGTACTCGAGCGCGTCGTCCTCGACGTATGCAATGCTCATGAACGGCAAGACAACTTGCAATTGCGACTGATCGGCGAGCGGAACGGGTGCAAACTCGTCCATGACGGATACTGACTCCTGGACGGGCTCCTCCGCTGCGGGTGCAGCCTTCAGAGAACATGACTCCGCCACAGGCTTGTCGTCGTCGGTATCGTAGAGGACGACGCGCCGGACCTTCCGGCGTCGGGGAAGATGGCTGCGGTGCGGCTCAACGTGGCCTTTGGGCACAGGCTTTCCATCCCCGACCAGCGTCTCCTCCGTTGGGGCCTTCTCTTCCGACTTCTCCTCCTCCACTACAAGCGCAGGAACCTCCGCCTCCAGCTCCAGCACGGGCTGTGCGAGCCTCGTCTCCTCATGGTCGTGAAGAACGACACGCCTGGGATTACGGCGGCGCGGAAGATGATTCCGGTGGGGCTGAACATGGCCCTTGGGCGACGGCCACGCCGGCGACGACAGGCCATGCGTCGAGAGATGCAGACGCATTGTAACACCACAGCGCACGCGCAAAGGTGGGTGTGCGTTGGGTAGCGGTGGCGGGAAGGTGGCCATGGGCGTCGTGGGGTAGCCGTCATGAAGGATATAGAGTGGTGCAGACATGGTTGCGACTGGTGATGCGAAAAACAGATAGTTTGATGACTCGAGTGCCAGACTCGATAGAAGCAATTATAAGCAGCGGAGAATCAAGTGCGAGTGTTTTAGCCCTAGACCCACGCCTCTGCTAGGCGGTTAACATGAGGCGGCGAGGCGGTGATGAAAAGGGCGTACGTACAGTGATAAGCTATCGGCTCGGCAACTGAAACTTCTTGGATAAACGATGATGGATGATTGAGCTAGAGTCTTTGTAGGTCACTGCGCAGAGTAGGCCCCGGCTTTATACCTTTGAGTCTTTGATTTTGGACTGAAATGCGGATAAGATCGAGCATGTAGAAGGGATAGTCCAAAGTAAGAAGCTCACTTCGACACCATTTGTATACAGACTAACGAGATTGCCATTTGAGGGACCGGGTGTAGCGATATGGTCGTCGGGAAGCGGGAGAGCGAGAAGAGGAAGGCGGGAGAGCCATTTTGGATAGTCCCGCCCTATTTAGCGCCCACTCATCGTATCTCGCCATCTGGGGTCCCGGTTGGGAGCCGGAACCGCTATGCAAGGACCCCAGCTCTGTGACAGTTTCGACTTTCACCCCCACTCGCAGCATTCTCGTCGTGGACCGGAGAAGATAGCTCGAGTCGGCACACTAGCGTGTGTAAACAATGCACAGCACAAACGTGCAATATGTGTAGCTCTTTGACCCTGCATGCTCCACGTTCTCCCCTCACCGTCCTGGGGTTCGTCTTTCCGGAGCCCGAATCTCGAACGCCTACTGGATTTCAGCCATTTCGGCACAGACAAGCCCAGGGTCATCCGATTACACGTTGCGGCAAGCGAGAATAGACGAGAGGGGTTCTCGTGCTGAAGATAGCTTATCGATACGATGCCGGCTTGTCGTGCGTTCCTTGCCTGTGTCGTTGTTATTAGCGTCACTCTTCATTTGCAGAATGTTTGCACCGTCGTTGTCCAATTTTGAGGTGCTTTGGCACGCGCCGCAACGCGTGCCGGAACTAAAGCTACGCGACAAAGGTGCCAGCAGTTATGTCGTGGACCCTAAAACGAAGTAGAGAGCGGACACTCAGTGCCGTCGTGCTTGATGTTTGCTTACGCAAATCTCACTATCAATTGCACTGCCAATCTCAGCCCGGCACTCGTACATTTCGCGGTGCGCACTCGAGGTCTCCGCCCACTGTCTATTGGGTTTTGACCACCATATAAGGACTGCAGGCCGATTGGCTTTGCGAGTGCAGTGCGAGATAGGTCGAAGTTCTCGAAAGCCGAGCAAGCGTCCTTTTCTTTATTAAGCTTTATTCTTGATCATCTGACGCAACTTGACTATAGCGCAGTTTAAGAGCTAATACAAGTGTCTAAAAGGCCATATTCCTAACAGCTCCATGGTCGAGTTGCCGTGTCGGGACATACGCGTTTCTGTTGTACTTCCTACGACTGATCTACTTCTATCGACGCTCACAAAGACAATGCATCTAGTACATGCGCAGCAAGTAGCAGCCCGTACGCGACGCAGAACGTCTTCAACAAAATCGACGCCGCGGTCATGGGACTGTCGGCTACATCCGCCACCACGATACACAGCGCAAAGCATTCGAACAAGACCAGCGGCCGCAAGCAGACGATGGCAGCCAGGATCGCCGTTCTGCCGAGCACCCTAACGAGACCGGAAATGTACCCGAAGACCTTGGCTCGCTTGAAAAGAACCCTCATGCGTTTGACGGCCCGTTTGACGACGTGGCTGAGGCTTGTGAGATAAGATTTGCTGACCAGTGGCCCTCGGCGAAGGACTAAGTTGTGGAGTGACGTGAGTTACACTTGGTTGAAAAGGAATGAGCAGATAACACGGCTTACTTTTGATTGTCCGGTGACACTGCAGTCCGACGTCCCACACTCCACTGTACGTCGGTGGAGGGAGGCAGAGCGCGTATAGTGGGTGCGCCATGATTTATGTTCTGGATGGTGTGTGCACACGCTCGCCGGCTTATAAAAGCAGAGTCGGGTGGCCCATCAATGTGGCGGCGGCCCAGGGGAACAAAGCCAGTATCGCCTTATGCGTCGGCCTTGTGTGGCTCTAATTGTGCCACTCGGCTTACCTTGTCGGGGCCGAGGTCTGCAATGACGCGTTCATATAGGGTATAAGTTTCACATATGGGTATTCGTTGGGTGGCTCTATAGTGTGATGTGGTGCCTCGTGAGAAACGTCTTGGGCTGGGTTGTTTCCAGGGAACGCCTCCGTGCAAGAGCAGGCGAAGGGTGTTGCCTGCACAACTGTAAACTCTGTACTCTCTTGAGAAGCTACAGTCAACAGCACTGCACCTCAACTCTCCCATGGTAGAGTCGCTCTAAGAATGGCAGTCAGAGTTCGGACACATCGAGGAAGTACGGCTTCTGATATTCGTTTTTCAACGTCTCTAGCATTGCAGCAGAAAGCATGTGCGGCAATTTTAGCTCAACGAATTCTTCCCAATCAGTGTCGATGACCTTCATTGTTTGAAATGTGGTCCTCGTGCCACAGGTTCGCCTGGTAAACTTGAGACCCATGATGACGATGTTTCACAGACGCCTCTATTCAAGTTGTTGTGCCAGGTTGAAGTTCACCTTGACACTGTGACCACCGGAAAATTATAGTGGAAGTAGGCCCTGTGTTGTCTATTTTAAATTTGCTGGTACAGTCTGACAAGAACTGGTCGCCAGACTAAGTTAATCGACATGCGAATGGTGACGCTAAATCGATTGGATGAGACCTTGACGCGTCTTGTAGCTTCCAAGACAACTTTACGTGTAAATCATCTGGATTGTAGACCTGCTCTCTGCAGCTTCATTGCTGTCATCTCTTCTAGCATTTCCGCGAAATATAGCATGTGTTGAACAAAATATCAAGGGCCGCGCTCAAAGGCTTTCTGGTGCTCCTGATTTGCGCAACAGACAGATGGAGATTTCAACGGAGGATTCACTTACGGCACCGAAGATCGTAGGCCACCCATCGCGTAAGTTGTATGGGACACGTTCTCATGAGATGACGTAATGACGCATTACTCGGGTCAGCCCATGAGCCGCCGCGGTTTTCGTAGTGAGTGGGTTATTTGAACACCGCCGCTGCCCCGGTCTGAGATGCTCTTGGATGTGCAAAATCTTCAATGCACCAACAAGCCGTTGAATAAATTCCACCCTGAGATTCCTCCTGTAGTAAAGACAGACGCATTTCAAGCCTGCGGGATTGTGATTGTCAATGAATCAAGTGGCAGTTTAAGTTGAGGTGCACATGTTGTGGCGGTGCGTGGGAAGCCAGAAGGCCGCATGGCGATGCTCGCAAGCTATGATCGCTCTGGTACCTTGTTATCATCTAGCACTTTACCTGGCTGTGGATAGCGAGTAAGGTGAGTACGTGCGCCTTGAGTGAGGCTCGCACTTTGACCGACATGCCGCATTTAGCAACAGCTTTGTGGCGTCGGTTACGGCTACGTGCGGCGGAGTTTCATTGCAACTTGTGCTCGCACTCCCATCTCCGTCGACCCATGGCGAGAGAATGAACGTATGTTCATCCCATCCACGATATTTCTTCATGCTCAAATACTGCGCAGAACCTCCTCAGAAGTCTCACCGACAGCCACCTCGCCCAGGAACCTGACCTCAAGCTCCTGCTCAACAGCGTCAAGGAGGCGCGCGTGAGTGCGCTCGCGGAACACGTTTGACGAGTATTCACATGCTTCCAGCGGCAATGCCACGACACCAAGCTCTCAGATGCATTCTATGACTCGCTGGACGGGCTATTGCAGGATGTCCGACAGGTGACAATGGTACGTCGATCGCGTCGTCCGACCCGGAACGCGTCTGAAGCGCAGGCAGGATAACCGGGATGCAGAGGCGTTCCTGAAGCCAGTGTCAAAGTCTGAGGTGCCGGATTATTATGAGGGTGCGTGACTGGATTATTCGCTTAAATTATTTCCTGACCTGTCACTGCAGTCATCATGCATCCGATGGACCTTCAGACGATGCAGAAGAAGGTGAAGCAGAAGGCGTACAAGTCCAAGCGAGAGTTCAAGGACGACCTCGATCTCATATGGAGCAACTGCTTTAGCTACAACGCCACGGAGGTATGTGCGGCAAGCGGCCCGCGCGTGCATTAAACAAACTCTATTGTTTCCAGAATCACCCACTCCGGCAGTGCGCGACGCGTCTCAAGGCCAAAGCCGAGAAGCTCCTGAAGAACATTACCGACAGAAGAGAGCGCCTCGATCCTCCAGTACCCTCTGACGCCTCGCGTGGTGGCACCCCGAAGCTGAACGGCACGGTCAACGGTCATGCTGTTGTGCGTTCGCGTTCGGTCGCCTTCACAAAGTCCCCTAGCCCGTCAAAACCTGTCGGCGTTGCAACCGCAAGACGTGATGCGCAGTTTCCGGACCAACCGGCCATCGTGCGGACGACGGAGGGAATGGTGGAGTGGCTGCAGCTGGACAAGGAGCTTGATGCGCGGCTGAACGGCGAGCTTCTGGCCAACGGGTTCAGCGGACCTAGCGTGGAAGAGAGGTTGAGGCAGTACGTTGGTCTGGGACCAGAGGGACATGACGAAGATAGGGCGTCAATGGATGGCGAAGTGGGCGAGAAGCGCAAGCTGTAAGTGGACACTTCAATCGTATCTCTGGACTTGTCCGATGGTATCACCAGGAGCCCAGGGGAGAGCGGCCCACGGAAACGCCCGCGAACAGGTTCAACGGAGAAGGACGCGGTCGACCTCTGGTGGGACGCGATGCAATCTGACTTCATGATCGGCCACGGCCTGCCTGTGCTCGCGCATGTCATCTCGGAGGAGCCCGCGGCCGTCGTACCGCCGACTGGCATCGTCGACCCGCCACGGAAAGCAAGCCAGCGGCCGCGCAAGAAGCGCAGGAAACAGGCAGACGAACGCATGCAGAAGACGCTGTTGTACCGCATGAACGACAACGTCCGGACATTACGTCGTGTGCGCGACGTTCACGCGCGGTTGACGGTGCTCAAGGAGACAGCGGACGACCCCACCAGTGGCGAGCCCTCGCTATTGCTGCCGCCGGTGGACGACATTGAAGACCCAATAGATGACCAGCCGTGGAGCATACAGGCATCAGGAGATGATATTGGGGAGGAGCATGCGGATGATTGTATGCATTGGATGAGCTCAAAGGTGCTCGAGCATGCCGGTTTTCAAGGTGAGTCTGCATATATGCGCACCGAGTTCAACGCTTGAGCTCTTTCGATAGGCACATCCAAGGTTGCGCTGGACGTACTCGCCGGAGTGGCCTCAGACTACCTCCTTAACGTCGGGCGCACAATCCAATTTCTCACCGAGAAGTATGGGCACAAGATGACGCCTGAAGAGATTATTCTACATACTCTCTTCGAGGGGGGCGTGACTCGGGCACCGTATGATCTGGACCGGTACATTAAGGAGGATATCGTGCGATATGGCAGCCGCATGAACGACTTGGAGAAGAAGCTGAGTCATGTGTACTCTGAAGCGGTGGGTTGTGACTGCTCTAAGCATGATACCGAGAATAACATAATGTGTAGACCGCGGAGCAAGCTTGGGATGACGAAGCTCTCTTTGGCGCAGAAGAGAACGAAGAGGAAGATGGCGAATTTGTCATGTAAGTCATGTCCAGCCCTTGCTATCCATATCTACTCACGCCGGCTCTTCAGGGGCAACTTTGCGGACGCATTCGGCGAAGACTTTTTGGGCCTTCGGGAACTTGGTATCGCAGCTGAATTCGGCCTCTCCAGTCTCAGCGTCCCCAAAAAGTTGCTCAAGAGCAAAAATAAGGGCGCGGCGCAAGGTGCACCTTCTGCGTACGTATCTCTTCCTCAAACTCCCTTCGTCTATCTAACTGTCAACGAATTCACAGCAAGAAACCCTCCGAGCCACCACCACCCTTCCCTCCGCCGCCACCCTTCATCCTGCTCGACTCGAAAACAGCCGAGGACCAGATCGGCCTGCTCAAGTCGTTCTACCAACACCGCATCGCGCAGATCTCAGTACCAGTCTCGCCACCGGCACCGCCTCCAATGCCTCCCTTCAATACGACATTACCCGGCGCCTCCGCGCCACCTCGGCCCTTCCCCCAGGCCCCATACCCTCCTCCATCTGTATCCCTCTCGCCGACGCTCGCATCGACATCGGCAGCAGTGCCAGCTCCAGAGCTGCCCGAAGCGCCGTCCCCGCCGCCCGTGACGCTTCCCGACGACGCGCCTGCGCAGGCCCACACGAAGCTGGGGCCGCTCGGGCAGGTGCTCAAGCCGAGCGCTGCGGCGAGCGCGGCGAAGAAGAAGGACAAGGCGCCTGCGAAGGGCAAGGGCCCTGCCGAGGGCCCTGGGCCTGGTGCTGGCACCGGCGGGGCGAGCGGCAGTGGGGCGGGTGGGGGCGCGGCAGGTGGTGCTGGGGCCGGTGGAGTGGGAGATACGATGGTGGATGGCACGCCCGCTGCGACGCCCGTCGCGACTGCGCCCGAGACGCCCAAGAAGCCGAAGCCGACGCCGACCAAGAAAAAGAAACAGCCGCCGCAACCTTCGCATAGCCTTGAGGTGTTGCCCCCGCCCATCCTTGCATCGGGGTAATATGCCATTGGTGCGGTTGCGGGCTGGTGGCCTTGTTGATGGCTTACGCTGTATATCATACGGGATATTATTACTGGTTACCCTCCCGTATATCTATGTCTACTGTATCATTTATCGTGATCCTTCGTTGTTGGGGGTAATAGCATTGGCTTGATTGCGTGGGACAGCTAGATACTTGTATTCTGTGTAGCGCAGACGCGCCACAAGAAGCGATGCCTCGGACTCGACTGCTTATTGCATGCACGTATCGAGTCAAGACGGAAGGACCCGGTTACATATGTTGATCAATTTCTGCAAGAAATAATACTGACAAAGGCCAGCACCCGCACGGAATAAATACAGACCGATGAAACGCAGTAGAACTCTCTCTCAGTCTTCTTCATCAACATACCGGACTGAGAGATACGTGTCTGCTGTGATGCCGAGCTCGCCTACGGTCTTGTCCTCTAAGCAGAAGTGGTCGCAGCCTTCGTCATCGCGCATGTACAGGCCCACCCTGTGCACACCCAGTGTCAGTTCTCACTGCGTGGCATACCAGGCACATAAGAACCGAGGAGAATCACGTACTTCTCGTATTGTTCCTGCATCCCAAATGTACGGCACGCGGTCCAGAGGACCTTGCGCACCGTGTGTTTGTTCTTGGTCTTGAACTGTGAGCCGCTTTCGTTATCCTCGTCATTGTCGGCGCCGTCTGCGGTGGCAAGCGCGACGCTGATCACGAAGCTCGCGTCAGGATTGTATGGTTCTGGGCCAGCTAGAAAGAAAGTATCAATCAGTGTGTCGGATTCGATTCGATGTGTGCCGAGCGCACCGTTTAGCTGAGGCTGCGCCGCGCGGCTCGGCGTCGATGGCACCTGCTGCAGAGGCTCTCGTTTCGGAGTGCGCAGGGGCGACGCGCGCGCCACGGTCGCCTTCAGGGCCTCGCTTCGCGCCATCGCAGGCTGGGGCTTCACTTGAAGCTCCTCCTTCACCTGCGCCTCCGAGTCGGCGCGCCTGTCGCTCGTCCGCCTGCGCTTGGCCGAGCCAGTGTCGCCTCCGTCGCGCTCGCCATCTGAGTCAATGACGCGCCGTTTCGCGTTCTTCTTCATCGGGGAGCGCGGCGCGGGATCGTGCTCCTCCTCCTCGTCGAGATGCGGGAGCGTAGGCTCTTGCTTTGCCGGCTGCTTCGTGGCTTTCTTGAGTGGGCTCGACGAGGGCTGCACGGAGAGGCGCAAGGAAGCTGCCTTCGCCGACGACTTTGATGCCGGGGTCTTACCAGTGGATTGCGCGGATCGGCTCGCAGATGGACGTGCGCGAGACGTAGGCTCTTCCTCGGGAGGCGACGGGATCTTGGCCTTCTGAGACTCTGCGGCAGTGGACTGACTTGGGCCTGCTGATGGACCAGGGGTCTGCATGCCTTGTATCGGTCCGTTTTAAAAAGAAGTTGCATAAGACAAGATACTACGGGAGGCGCACCTGTTGCGTCCCTCGCAGGCTGAACGCGCTTCACCTCGACCGTGGCCAGCAAAGGCATGAGTCCTTGCCAGGCACCCGCCGTGATCCTAACAGCAGTCCTCTCGCGGCCGCTAAAAACGTCTTCCGTAAATAGCTGTATCTGCTCGTCCTCTGCTATGCTGAATTCCTGCTTTGCAGTGCCCACGATAGCCTGTTGAGTGAATGAGTACAGCCTGAGGCGGGAATTGTGGTGTCGCGTCGTACATCATATGCATCAGGCATACCAATTAAGACATGTTCTGTCCCGTATTTCAAAACAAGAAGATTCGCTGAAGATTTTGCATCTTGGTTCGCGGGATTTGTGAATATCATCGTCGATGTAACAAGAGTTACGTTCAACGTTCAACGACTCGCGCGTCAACGAGGGTAGATCACGTGGTCGTTGCTGCAATATCCCGCTAAATACGAATAAATTCTGATTTTCTGAATAACGCTGGGACACCTTTCTGCCGACATCTCTCTGTTTTGCTGTATAAATATGTACACGCTCCGTGTATTGCAATATTCGAGCGTTGTTCAACTGGCTTCAAGGTCGTAGCATTATGCGCGCTAGTACTAGTACTCTAAATACGGTAGCGGAGACGTCGGCTAGACGGACAGGGAGAATCACAATAAGGAGAATCTGACCTCGCCCACCATCTTCAATGCGCCGCTGGAGACTATTTCAAGCGCAATAGGTGAAAGCCAATTTTTTTCTGGGGTTTTTTTTGGACTTGGGAGGCTTCCGGAGACCAGGGTCGGATGTGCAGAAACGCGCCAATTGAACCAGTTCATCTTCTAGACAACATGCGCCATGCTTAGGAACCCCATAAAGAAAGGTCTGGAACAATAAGGTCGAAGAGCACTTAAAGACGAAACAGTACTTGTACTAGTGAGTGTTTTGCAATATAATTCACTACTGCCATATCGACATCATGTACGCAGATGACTATGCATTGACAATGGATAGCTTTAATTGCCATCCAGCTTCAGAGACTCGCAAGCATGGTTCTATGATACTTTGGTCGAGTCAACGGCCCCACAGCCTGCCAGTTTGGCGCACAGCCTCCTTACTGCTATACTAGGGGCAGCCTGAACATTTCCAAATGAACCTGGTGCCACCTCGATGTCTTGTCCTGAAGCATGCTACAAAGCATTTTGGCCGTCGATTTGGTGCTCAGCAAAGCTCACACTACTTGACGTCTGCGCGGTCTAGTACTGCTCTGCCATGACTCTAGACATGAAATAGCGTTAGCAAGCATAGCATGCCAAGGAGACTCCTTTCTCGTGCGCTTCCAGGTGCTCGTGTGGCTGTGCAGCCACGCTAGCCCGCTCGTCCGCGGATACCCATATCGGTGTGAGGAGCTGTGAAATATTTGTGCACCGGCCGGATCGAGGCTGTTGCGGGTGCACCTTTGCGTGCGATGAGCGTACCGCCCTAGCATTGCGCAAGTATTAAAGCCGGCGCCAGAATGCTCAATTGCTCACTCATTCAAATCTCAGAGCGAGTCAAAGCCACGATCGCATACGCATCATCGCTCCTCTTTCTGTGACCACCACCACCCCTCGATCCCACAACACTAACTCTAGCTAATCAACAATGGCATACAGCCAAAACGTGAGTTATAGTAGTGCGTACAAGCCGGGTGAGAGCTTATCGTAGTACTGATAGTACGGTGGCGGATATGGTGGAGGATATGGCGGCGGAGGCGGCGGCGGCGGGCCAGGCTATGGCGGTGGGTATGGTGGGGCTCCGCCCTACGGCGGCGGACCTGGCGGCGGGCCTGGTGGAGGACCCGGTGGAGGACCTGGTGGAGGACCTGGCGGCTTTGCTGCTCCACCGCCCTCTGGCCCACCCCCGGGTGCAGACCCTCAGTGCGTGCGATGTCCCCTTGCACCGCAACATCTCCTGACGCCGTGACAGGCTGTGGAATTGGTTCACCTCGGTCGACTTAGACCGGTCGGGGCAAATCTCGGCGCACGAGCTTCGTGAGTACAAGCGCGACGGACGGAGAAGGTATTGCTGATGTATGGGTCTCACAGAGCGGGCGTTGATTAACGGAGATTGGTCTCGTGAGTCGCACACGCCTTTCGAGGTATCCCCCTCGCTCAAACTTGCGCAGCCTTCGACCTCGACACCGTGAAGCTCCTTATGACCATCTTCGTACGTCCCCCTGCCGTCCCTCACGCTTTATATTCACGCGCACACCCAGGATACTGACCGCAGCGGCTCGATCGGCTTCAACGAGGTGCGCACTCTGTCCCCCCGCCCCCACTCTCACCCTAATACTGTGCATAGTTCGCAGGCTTGTGGAAGTACATCAAGGACTGGCAGAACGTCTTCCGACACTTCGACCGCGACCGCTCGGGCTCCATCGACCATGCGGAGCTGCAGCAGGCGCTGACACAGTTTGGATACAATCTCTCCCCGCAGCTGCTGCACCTGCTTGAGAAGAAATATGGTACGTCGTGCTGTTACTTCGCATGAAGGAGAGCGTACGCTGACTGACGCGCCCCGTCGTGAGGGGTAGATGTGCAACAAGCGAGCGCACCGTCCGTACCTGGCACCGCGCCGCCCGGCATCTCGTTCGATCGCTTCGTGCGCGCATGCGTCGTCATCAAGACCCTTACCGAGAGCTTCCAGCGCCTCGACAACGACCGTGATGGCTGGATTCAGATTAACTACGACCAGTTCATGCAGACTGTGCTCAGTGCGCCCTAAGTTATTCAGAAGGTATAGGGAAGGAAGATGAGGTGGTGGTAGTGCATGACCGAAGGACTGAAGGACTGAAGGAACGAAATATGCTTGTATTGAGTATATCCCGCGTTAAGCTTACCCTATCTGTGTGTAACACACCTGTTGCGCCGCAGTGCCGTCTTTGAGTGAAAGCAAAGCAATATATTTCTAACAGGTATGTACTGTATATATGTCCAGCGACAAAAGATCCATTTCATATACACCACGAGAGACATGAACCGAGGAGCGAAGAATTGTACTAGGGGAGGGCAAGGCGCGCAGAGAATGCATACTTATATATCATATCAGGCTTAAGTGAGGTAAAAAAGAAGAAAAAGTTCCCGAAAGCACATGGCTGAGAAAGCGAAAAGGGTGGCATGAAGCACGACGCCAGAGCTCGCTGGAAGAGTGGGGGATAAGCACCCTGAATGAAAGCTATGAGACAACAACAGGTCAAAGGGCAGTGCACACAGCACATTTAAAGATATGAGGCAGTTCGTTGAGGATAGTATGTCTGGTGATGAAATGTTGCAGCGGCAAGGTGAGATGTGTTGGATGCGTCGATATGTCAATAGTAGATGAGGGATGAATTAAGCATCGGAGGCCGGAGCGTTCGCTTCTATGCGCGGGTAGGTTGGGATCACCGTATGAGCCGACTGTAATCCAGCCGGCTCTCCTTCCTGTCGCGATTGCCGTCCTTCTTTGGGAACGCATTCCAGAAACGGAGCGTCTCGTCGCCCGCGCCGGTGACAATCGTCTCGCCGTCCGGGCTCATGGCGAGGTAGAGCACGCGATGAGTGTGTCCCGTGAGCGACGCAACCATGTCCAGAGATGGATATTTCCAGATGCAGATCTGATTCTGCGCTGTCGTCGACGAGAATCCATGCGTCGACACAAGTTCATGTGACGTGAGCGACCATGTCAGGTTGCAGACCTAACATTGGATGAGTGCGGGACCATATGTAAGTCATGCCGGCCGGCGTACCTGACTACCAGTATCCAATTGGCTCAACAGTGCTCCTGTATAAACGTTCCAGAAGCGAATATGCTTGTCGGCCGTGCCGCCGCCGCTCGCCAGTACGCCGCTGACGTGCGGATCCCAGGCTAATGCCTTTACTGCCGCCGTGTGCTCGTGGAATTTGAACAATGGTGCGTCACTGGTATCCTCGGCTCCGCTCGTGCTCGCCCCGCTACTTGGCGCAGGGGTGGGATTGTTCCGTATGCCGGGTCGCTTGTTACCGCGAAGATCCCATATGCAGACCTTGTTATCGTTACCACCGCTTGCCAACAACGCAGTCTGCTGCCCTGCGTCAGTGTTCCATCGTAGTCCACAAACTTCCTGTCTGTGGCCCTGTGACTTCTTGAACGGCTTCATGCTGGCTTCCCTCACATCTCGGTGACATATACTCCGGTCGCGCGACCCTGAACTCAAGATGTGCTGATTCCATGAGAGTGCGCCTATTCGATTGCCGTGTGCCTGTTGATATGTCCGCTGTCTATCCAGCGTATTCGCATCATATATGTGTAGTTTGCCTGACAGCGTCCCCACCGCCAGTGTGGTGCCCTGTTGTGGCGTCACTCATCAGTCCCGTTCTTAGCCGAGACGTGTGGGTCGCACGCACCTTCTCTACCCACGACAGCGAACTTACTGTGTCGCTAGTATCAGACAAATCGCACAGCTTCGATACCGCAGCAGTATGTGCCGTCCACAGATACACGCATGAGCCTAGTCCCACTCCAAGAACGTTCGTGCTTGACCAGTCCACCAGGTTCAAGTAGAAATCGTCGGCCAGCTCTGGCGCGTCCAAAACGCGATATGGCGTCTTGCAAACGCTGCGAAGCTTCCTTCGTGGGCTCTCCAACGTCTGCCTGCTCTCCGCACGCACGGGACTCATCGAATAAGCTTCGTCAGTAGGCGTATCGAGTCGCCTGCCAGGAGTGCCAGAATTTGAGCGCGATGGAGAATTGTAGTTGAACAGCCGCTTCCTCGTGGGCGTCGTAGGCAGCGCGGAGCTGGAAGCTTGACGAACGGGAGAGACGGCGCGGTTGGGTGAGGGGGGCGTGACTTCTGTTGTCAAGATGGATGTAAAGATAGCGTTCGCCTGCTCTTTCTGCGCATCCGACTCGGTAGGTATTATCCGGGCCTTGGACGGGGTTGTGGGGGGTATTTCATCTTTAAGCTGGTAGGAGGTACGGATGTCCCCCGTGTCTCGAGTAGGCACGAAACGATCGCCGTAGTCTTTATGACCAACACCCTTCTCCGCGCCGCTACTCTCATAACCGGCCATTAGAGAATCGGAGGGCGATGGGGCAACGCCAAAGGTAGGCTGAGTTCGCGGCCGATTACGCCGCCCGCGTTCTTCGTCGTTGTCTGGCGCATGAGACGCGCGGAGCCGTTTGCCAAACTGCGAGTTCTTCAAACTGGACATGGTGGTGGTTGGGGAGCAAGTTGTGGATGGCAGTGAGCAGTATGGCTGATACAGTGTCGAGCAAGAGTGACCAACAGGACTCGGATTTAGGTCATAGAATGTCGAGGACTAGGGATAGGATCCGAGGCGCCGGAAAGGATGGAGGGGGAAGACAAGTCGCGTCCAACAACCGTCGGCGGCTGGTCCCCCGCGTCGCGTGTTACGTAAGCCTCTCTTTCAGCTCCGACTTTGCACGTGTTTAGCGCTATCAAACTCCGAGCGGGTACTCTATCATCTCCGCCTAATATTTAGCGCTTGTTGCGGCTATCGTCCTAGCTCCGAACTCAGCCTTCTTCTTTCTACCCTGCATCCTCAAGACCTTATTATCGCCTTTATGATACCGGGTTGCTATATGGTAGCTTGATTGTATTTTTTGAAGCCTTTCTTTGTTCTTTAGATGTGGTGCATTGTCCCGAAGCCTCCTATTTTGCATGGTACCCCGAGCGGCATCCCGGAACGCGACGACAATCTAGACTGTTCCAGAGTAGGTGTCCATATCGAGGTGTATAGCTGAGTGCGAAATATCAATTGCTGACCAAATATCTCTTGAAGACTCCAGCAATTCTAGGCAATGTATCCTGCACAGCGTCGATACTCGTTCAAGTCTATGCCAGCTACCTTTCCCGGAGAGATCGGAAGGTTGTCCAGACTATTTACACATCTTTTTACAGCCTTTAGCTCACAATAACGAGCTTCCTAATGATGCTAGATGTGAGGAGACATAGTCTGATATCAAACCATTAACCCATGATTGGTAGGCATTTACCTCTAACTTACCTCTTTTCGCTATACTTGTACTACAACCGCTCTTGAACTCTCTAGGAAGAGGGATATGAGGCCCTGTCGGGGCGAGCACCGCCATAGCAGACTCCCAGAGTCTCAACGGCGAATATTTTGAGATGTTTGTGCGCGCATACAAACAGCGATGTAAGTGTTAAGACTGTGGTCTCGTCTTCTAGACACGGTGGAATAACGTCGCTGAACATATTTAACGCTTTGTATATGACTTGATACTACAGATATAGTGGATCAACGGCCATAACAGGCAAAGGGCGGCGGACTCGAACACCAGGTCGAGTGCACCGGCGCGGCATGGAATTCGGCTATATCGTATGGTTTCCACTGGACCGCCAGCTATGATCGATTTTTGCAGCACACTATCGAATCATATTTCTCCAGCGAATCTCAATATTTTTATTTTTATTTTTATTTTTTCAGACGTTGTAGCATGGACCGCTTTCTTGCACACACTTTCTGTGATGATTGGCTGGCGGTTAGAGGTATCCGAGGTCTTTGCCATGGACCTCCGGGGTACCGTGGAAAGACTCAGACCTACTCCAACTTACCCTTTCGTTCGACTTTTTCCCGGGCCCACTGGCATCTGGTTTGACTATTGTGTCAAGCAGGTCGGCGACATCTGGTATGCGCGTTGCTTATACCTTCTGTTTCCTCTTCAAAGAACACTTATCAATTCAGACTCCAGAGCGCTATAATGAGATCTCGCTTGCCTGCGACGTCATATGGCCGCCCGACGCGAGCTTGTCACCGAACCACCACCATGACCCCGGCACTGGTTGAACTTTTATCAGAAAACCCTCGAGCCCCGGATTGGCGGAATCCAACTTGCTCGGACCGTTTACATAGATATCAATTCTAGCGTGACCGCATACTCGTGCTTTTGTGCTTCGATGCGGTTAACTACAACCAGGACTGGACTTCTATCTCAAGCTATGACAAACTCTGTGCACTGTTATGCCCCTGGGTGACGTCACTGCGACATCTCTCAGCAAGTATTGTACTGCGGAGGCTCGTTGCTAGGCAGTAGACGAACACGCTTCGTACGACCTTGTTCTCGAGGAACCAGGGCACAGGACTTCTCTATTGAAGTGCTTGCTGGCATCGGCGTGAGACCTGACGTACCACCGCCTCTATTGACCTTTTAGCGACGTCCCGGAAAGATGCTGGTGGATGCCATTGTGTTCGCCCGCTGCTTATTGTTCCGGCTCTGTGCCTCACGATGCACGGTGCTGAATTTAATCCTGGAAGCTGACGCTATCCCGCCCTATGGCGTCGAGAAGAGTTTTTGTTGTTGTAAACGCTGGCCGTGTCATTCCATCAATGCATTGTTCTTTGGCCTACATATGTAAGGGCTCCGTCTTCGCTTGACAAGCTACTCAAAGTGAATCAAACATGGCTACCGGTAGGCATCGCTCCTGGAGTACCGAACGGGCAGCACACTGACGCCGTCGAGTCACAGCTACACAGAAAGTTCAAACCTATTCCCCCACTTACACCTCAGCTCCTGTCAACAGGTCAGCATTGACTTTCGAGAAGGCTGCCGTACACGTTCGCGATGCATTTACACTTTCGTACGCAATGGCGAGAGGCTGCATTGCACGTTGTGAGGGTATGCTGTATAATAACTCGTCGAAGGCTCGTCGAAGTGAAGCTGGTGAGTCGCACGAAAAATATGCACGATTATGTGTGCTTACATCTCCCCTCTTTATTCCAGAAACCTGCTCAACGGGTATCTCTGAAAAGGAAGAGTTCGGACTCTGGGTTTTGCGAAGGATCTTCGACCCCATCTCGCGATTCCTTAAGCTCCTCCAGGTAGATGATCACTTGTACCAGTTTGCTACCTTCTCGGCACATAACTTCTTTCGCGTCCTGGGACTGTTCATGCGGACTCTTCCGCTTGCTCGCTTCTTCCAGCGAGTGGTCCTCCCGTACTATTGCTGGTACATGTTCTCACGGCGATCTGACTCATATTGTTCCATCAGCGGGACTATCAACGCGCGGGCACGACTCTTGAAATACGACATCTGACCGTGATGGGTATTTTGTCATGCTCGTCGCTACCCCTATTCCTCTTTAATGACTATTGATCTTGTGCTGTGTATGCTATCATGTATCGCTAACCCTGTCTTACATACCACATATCAACTCGAAGAGAAACACGAATGCTGCACTTCTAGAGTTTGTGATCACCGGATCTTTCCTAGGCCATAAGCACTTCCCTGTCACTCTATTGATATCAACTTGGTGGCTTTGTACTTCTAAATCGAAAGGAATTATAATTCGCAAGACGTGAGAAATTCGTTGGATACCTGGGAGTACGAGGTCTCTTGCTGTCCAGCTTACCATGGAGACCTTATTCTAATCTCCAGGTGGACCGTCATACGAAATGCTACGGATGCGCGTAAATGTCGTCTGAGCTGTGCCCAGCCCTTACTCGTCCTCATCCGTCTCGCCTCCGCTGAACGTCTTCCAGATATGCTATCAGGATTGCAATCCTATGTCTTGGACATCCTCAACACATACGCCATCATGCGTCATCGAACGCCAGAGGAACATTGCGCCTCCGCCTGGTGGAACAGCTCTCGCTCGAGCCTGCCGCGGCACGCATCAGCACCGTGTATGCATCTAATGAATAGCATGGAGTCAAGCAATGATCTAAGCTGCCTCCCTCACTTGTAAGTCATGGAGTCTCTGGTGCGACAAAACGCTGACGTTTTCAAAGATCCGCTAATCATGTCCGCGTTAAGTTCTTCTTGGACCCTACGTACCAAAAGATCATGGATCAATGTTGCGTGTATGCCGACTTCCCGTTGGATGTGGACGGCGGACTAGATTTCGAGACCATACGGGGACAGTGGGGTCTATCAAGATGCCTAGTCAGTCGCATGTTACATCTTCAGAATATTCAATTCAATTATTTACGTCTGTCGGTCAGATCCTGCGATACAGGGAAGTTGAAGGTATGAGGACTTTCAGTCCCAGATCCCAATATAAGCTTCTTTCCAAAGAAGTGCGTGTTATGCGAGGGTACGATGAGTGCATTAGCATCATCGGTGCGTTGCGACTTGCGACTTTAATGCTGCGCTTGCCAATGTGTCGACTGTCCTTTTATAGAGGAGCCTCACGAAGCGAGAGCTGACGCACGAGCAAGGCGCATCAAGTGGCTCGACCGCCTCAACAGCCTGCGAGAGGAGTTCCATGGCATGCGGTCATCTCTCCACATTCTAGCGGCCCTCATAGCACTTGCAATCCTCGCATGGTCTTGGCTCGGCTGGCATGCGTACATCGCGCTTGTGATGTCCGAAATGGCCCTCGTATATGAGCTGCCGCAGATGGCGTCCCGCAGCCTGTGACTACCTCAAAGAGAGCTCGTCCAGATCGTACGGTAAGAAAACAAATATATATGTGACACACCGAGTCGATCATAGATGCTTTATGCCCCGTTCTCGCGTACACCGTTGTGTCGTATGTACTTCTGTATGCGTTCAATTGCAATTCTGTGCTCTCTTTGCCAAAAATGCAGTAGAGTAAGTCTCGCGAGGTAAGCAGACGCTTGAAGCAGAGTAAGCACTTATAAGCTGGGACAAATTGATGACCATGACGTCGAACGCCCATCTCGGGTTCTCCAACTCAATCCACCCTGTAGCCATGCTCGTGCATAACACTCGCTTCAATCAGACCTGCATGCACCCCTCACGCGATGAATTTTCAAGCCTGGCTTAATCGACCCTTCAGTTTTACGGCGATACCGGTCTCAGTGTTTACTCTCATCGTCTACGGAGCAGTATTTGCGGCGGTATTGGTCACTGACCAAACTCCTGACATACCCAGTAATGAGGGCGGGTTGAGCTTACAGAAGGCTTACGAGGATTTGCATATAGTAAGTTGGCTTCAATCACACATACTCTGTGTGCTGAGCTATTACGAAAGATCACAGCCCGTCCGCATCCCTACAACTCTCACGCAAATGACGATGTCCGCGCTTTCCTCCTGGACAGGCTTCAGCCCATAGTCAGCTCGCAGGACTACATTCACCTTTCGGATGATATGGTCTCAAACGCAACCTACGTAACGGATCGCGGAGGGTTCTACTTTGAGAGCACCAACATCCTCGTGAAGATAGACGGTACAGACGGGCCTCCTGTTCGCTCGAACGGAGTTGTGTTCTCTGCGCATTACGATTCTGTGTCGACTGCCCCTGGCGCTACTGATAACGGGATATCTGTTGTCACTCTCCTCCAGATGGTCGAGTACCTCGCACTGCCAGAACGAAGACCCCGTCGCACAGCCGTGTTCTTATTCAACAACGGCGAGGAAGATGGGCTGAACGGCGTGCACATGTTCCTCGAACACCCATGGGCAAACTTGACCACGGCGTTTGTCAACCTTGAAGGCGCAGCTGCGGGCGGGTGAGTCGTCCCATCTGTCGTTACAAGTTGTGTCGTTAAAATGACCTCAGCCGACCTATCTTGTTCCGAACGTCGTCTCTTTCTGTGGCACGCTCGTTCGCCGCAAAGGGAGTCCGTTATCCTCACGGTAACGTTCTGTCTGCGGACGCCTTCGCCCGCGGCGTCATCAGGTCTATAACCGACTTTTCCGTCTTTGCGAAGGGCATTCCCGGAGAGAAAGATGGCATGGCGGGGGTCGACTTCGCTTTCTACAAAAATCGTGCGTATTATCACACCCCATTTGATTCTATCCCCGGCATGGGTCGCGATGAGGGCAGAAAGGCGCTCTGGTCCATGATGGAAACCGTCAAGGGATCAGGATTAGAGCTATTGAACGGCCCAGACATCGACGATAACGGTGACACCGGGGTGTACTTTGACGGTGAGTTTCTGGATAAACCACAAAGTGTGGTAGTTGACAGAATCAACGATACAGTTCTTGGACGCGCAATGGTGGCCTTTTCCTTGAGAGCGCTTCTCATCGTTCACGTCATTCTCTTGATCATCGGTCCCTCGATAGTGTTGGGTTTGCTAGCATGGGTGCTTGTTCTAAGGAAGGACACACGAAGTAAGGATTTACTGCCGTCGTTTATGCGCTGCTTCTGAAGAGTGAAGCTAGGTCACTCTCATAATGACTCTGCCGAAGAGCGAACGGCATGGCAAAGACTCAAGCTGGTGCTAGCAAGACTTATGGGCTGGGGTCGATTTTGGCTCTCTCTTCTGATAGCTATACTGGTCAACGTCGGTCTCGTTGTTGGCTACGTCCAAATCAACCCGAATGTGAGTACGTGTGTGTTGAGAGCTATATGCAAGACTGACGACAGTCGCCAGATAATTTACTCGAAGGAATATGTCGTTTTCACAACCTTCCTGTCGGCCTCCTTCCTCTCGTACACTCTGTCGCTTCAGCTCTTTATCAAGATCTGGCCGTCACCACCCTCGTCACAGAAATTTGCCATACTGCTCGAAATATATGTCCTTTCCTGGATTTTCCTCGTTATCGGCACGGTCGGAGTCAACAACCTCCACATAGGTGGAGTGTACCTCATCACGACGTGGAATCTATGTTCTTGGTTGGCAGCGACTCTCGCCCTTGCTGAGGCGGTTGTTCGCGCGAAGTGGCCATCCAAACATGGGTCCAGGGCTGATTTCGACGTTGTCGACGAATCAGAGAGGGTTCCACAAGATCAGTCGACGGGGCATCGCTTCGTGCGCGGCATACGCTATGAAGCTCCGGAACGCGCGGAGAACGGCGAGGATGGCAGAGATGTCGAGCCTGAGGAGACTGCACCGACGGAGATCACCCCTCTTATGCAGCAGCAACGTCAGCATTCCACCGATGGTAGGGAATATATCATTGGCATCGATAACGAGCCGCTCCGGGTCGACGATGCCGGGAAGAGAGAAGACATCTACGAAGAGTATGGCTGGTGGATCTTGCAAATGCTCGCTTTGATCCCTCTGCCGTCTACGCTCTTGTCCCAAGTTACACTCATCCTGTTGCATGCTCTCAGGAATACACTCGCGGATGGGAGTAGCCCTATCGTCGGTAGGTCTAATGACATTGATATGTAAACATGGGTGCTAACGGCTTGGTACAGTGTACAGTGGTCTTGCACTGCTCTGCACACTCATCTTCGTCAATGTATCGCCATTTGCCCATCAAATCGATCGCAAGCTTCACCTCTCAGTGCTTTTTATCCTTGTTGTCACCTTGATCTATGCCTGGACGGAATTTCCATTCAAGCAAAGTGCACCTCTGAAGCTCTTCTTCCAACAAAGCATAGAGCTTGACCTCGGCGCATCACACATGATTGGGAACGAAAGGCTTGTACTTAATGCTGATACGACAACGTACGGGGCATCCGATGGCACTGTCGGACAGTTCATTGTCAATGCGACGACGCTGTTGACGGGCATACCAGGCTACGTCGACAAGAAGATCGTACGAGAGCTCCCCTCGTCTTGGGGCAGGGACGTCACCTACGAGACTGACTACATCCTCCGACCGGGGTTACTCACATGCGGCTGGGAAAGCAACCTCCTGCCATCTCCTGGAGGCAACTCATCCACACACGGTAATCCATCCCAGCCCGATTGGCTGAGGTTCACTGCTGAGCGCGTGAATACCTCTGCCGGACGCATTACCCTCGGCGGGAAGAACACGCGGAACTGTGTGTTGACTTTCGAGCACGCGATCACGTCTTTCGAGGTGCTCAACGGCGGCGGGCGGCTACAGCCGGGCTATGAGATGCCGCACAATGGGACGAAGAAGATCCAAATGTGGGCGCGAACGTGGGAGAAGGAGTTCTTTGTCGAGTTCGTCTGGGCGGGTGCGGACGAGGATTTCCACATGGAGGGACGCGCGGCGTGCGAGTGGGCCGAGTACGCGAGCGGGACCGCTGGAAGCACGCACGCGGTCGTCGGTGCACAGATACCCGCGCTGGAGGAGGTGCTGCAGTTCTTGCCGCTATGGGCCACGCCGACAAAATGGACCATGGGACTCGTAGAGGTGTGGACCAAGTTCTCAGTCTGATTTGATGTGTTTTATCTTCAAAATCGGACATCCGATCAGATGTTGACGAAGCAATAGGCAGACATTCCGCTGTTCCCACGTCCGCTCCCACTCATCGAGGAGTTGGGCATGTTCACCGTGCGCTTGATTGTTGGTTGCACAAGTAACAATGCAAGCTTCTGGCGTATATACGGCCACAGTGGCAGAAGCTGAGGTCATGGGAGCACCTCCAGAGATCTATGTTGAACACATTTCTCATGGCCATGAACAGGGTGACTTACCTGCAGTGGAAGCAGCGAGAGAGTCTGACCTGGGGACGGATTTTGTGCAAGTGCTGTTTTGAGTCTCTAACCTTCTGCCGACAGCAGCACCTTGTCCTCCTTTTCGAACCGCAGTCATAGCAGTCCCCTTTCCTGGGCAGCCGTGCTTGCCGGTGAAGCATGAGATACACCTTTCGTCGTCCTTGTGGAAGATGCATGTCTCCTTAGACAGACAGTTCGCACACTACGAGCAAACCACAGCATTTCTCGGTTAGCGAAGTTATGGACAGCAATTTTGGACACAGCTCACTCTGTCAGGACCACGGGCCACAATGTCTCCAGGGCGCGACTGCGCGAATGCTGACAATCTTTGGTCAGCGTCTCGCACTCTGGAGCGGCCTTGCGAAACCGGTATACTGCCGGGTGAGGTGTTTGCTGTGTGATTATTGGTGAGTCTGTCTTCCTCGCTATCCTCGAGCTCGTCCTCTTCTCGTTCGTGTTCATCATCCTCTCTGTTTCCGACTTCGCCTTCTTCAACCTCATCTTCCCCATCCCCTTCCTCTTCCTCGAACCGGTCATTCCCTTCCACAACCTCGCCATTGTCCTCATCCTTAGCTTTGCCTTTTCTATTGTTGCTGTTAGAGTTAGATGCTGGGACATCCAAGTCTGCACCGTGCACTTTCTCGTGAGCTCCGGTCTCGGCAATGCTCCGCTCCTGTGCCTGTGATATCGCTTCGACAAGCTTTCCATTATCATCCTGGATGATATTCTGCATCGCAGCGAATAAGAATGGTAAACCGTTCCATGTCAGAACAATCACTCACTGCCGATTCTATCAGGGTCCTGAGAATCTTGGCTTGGGTATTGCGTTGATCAGGCGGTATCTGCAGTAGCTCTTGCAGGCAGTGGCCTATCTGGGACTTCGCCTGAGCTAGTAGGTGAGATTTTTGCTCTTCGCGCTCCTCGTCTTCAACTTGGGAGCGCTCAGCTGGGGGGCATTCTTCCTCCTGTGTATGCCGCACACACTTGTTGCTACGCTCCTCGCGCTCTTCCTGTGTACACTGCGCACGCTTGCGACTACGCTCCTCGCGCTCTTCCTTTTCTCGATGTGACGCTAAGGCCGCGCGGGCATTCGACCCGTTATTATGTTTAACAATGCCCCGTATTGTCATGGCGTTAAGAAAGGCCCAGTGCCTCTTGGTGCGCTTCCCGCGTTTAGCCGGCGCCGCTTATCAACATGTTCGCCTCTGGGGTCTGCGGCCAATTCTACACCCTAAGTTGAGGAAGAGTACGCTGCAGCTGAATATTCCATCGTGCATATAAACTAAATTACTATCTTCGCCGTCTCTTCCCAGGGCCTGGCCTTGTGCCTATCGAGCTCGTGGAAATATTTTAGCGAAGTATTGACTTCTATACATCCAGTCTTCGGGTATAGGCGGGCAACGACGAGAGTTACGTGCCTCACCGTCAGTCTGTACTGTACCTTTGTGGCGCACGCCACAGATGCGCGGATCGGAGTCGGGTGCCTCCAATGGATTGCCTGTACTTCAGTGCGCGAACGTAACATAGCCCGGCCTAGGGATGTGCAAATAGTACAAGGTTATTGCAGGGACCAATGTGCTATTTAAAGAAGCCCAGAAACTGTGTGTTTCAAACATACCTCTGTTCACGTTTACTCAGTGCATGGATATTCAATATTCACTATTCAATATTCAACGATTGGAATGAAGGCGAAAACATGCACGGGTGTGTTGTTCATGCAAAACCTCTGAGACGAAACACAGTGGTGGCGAAATTTAAAGGCTTCAGCAGCAGTTCCGCTAGCATGCGTTACCTGCATACTGATAACGGAAGAGTGCACTCGCAGACATGTATCCTTCTCCCCAGTTGCCGCAGCCCACCAATCAAAGGAGCATTTGAGAGTACCGCACCGGCGATGTGGCGTGAAGAAGAGCGTTCAGTAAGAAGGGTCAGTTGGATGTGTAAGAGTATTTAAATTCGATTGCGGTGTCTGGTACTAGTATTACCTAAGCATATTCATGACTCGACAAATAACCCGATCCACTTACAGTACCAGGAGACACGAGAGAGCGTCCAAATGAGTGTGTCCGAGGGTAATAGCAACGTACGTCCAGAGAAGAAAAGACGGTAGGGGAAGATTAAGGAGACGTGGGAGGCATAGGTATGGATAAGTCACAAGGGCTCGGTAACGTGAAGTCCAGAACAGGTGGGTGCGCGATGACCGTCTGGGTCTCAGGGTCATCGTCGTCGGTTGCATCCTGGTCATCTGAGCGTAATTCAGTATCTTCTTCGTCTTCTTCTGGGATCGGCTCATCAAAGTGTTCATACTCGTCTTCCGACTCTGCTTCATGGTCGGCATCGAGATCCAGCTCGATGTCGTTGAATATAATATGAGCCTAGACAAGAAGCGTAAGTCATGGGTCAAATGAGGAGGTGAGCGGAGTCTAACATGAGAGATGAGCATCTTCGTCGCTTTGTGCGCCTTTCCCATATTTGCAAAGAAGAAGTTGACATCGTCTTCAGCAGACCGAACGAGGTTCGGGCTAAAGACAGTCGCCAACGAGTCTGCAGTCATCTGATTATTCTCTTCAAAGTCGGTTACCCTACATTATTTGATTAGCCAGGATGTCGGAAAATGTCAAATCACCAGTGACCCACTTGTCGAGATGTTCGATCAGCCGCTTCAACAAATCGAAGTGCGTCCGGGGCAATTCATGGACAACTGTACGCATGTTAGCCAATCGTGAATCCAGGTCTGATTCTTCGTTGACTATAACGAGGATTAGCGACCATCTCATATTGCGAGAAGATGTACTTACCGGCAGCATCCATAATCTTGATATGCGCAGGGGCAGGAAACATGCCATCAGGAAGAACCCGAAACCAGCTCTTGATCAGGTCGCAGACAGCGTTGATGTCCGTGTATGCGTCGATAGGCCACTCGCCTATTTTAAATATTAGTTAGCTGTAGGGTGTAGGTAACCCAGTTTAAAACCCACCTTGGTTGAGAGCATCTCGGAGTACACCCACTTCTGAATGAGCACCGGCAAGACGATCTGCCCAAAGTGAGCAAAACGTCACATCAAGGAAAGCTTGAATGACAACGTACAGATGCCCACTTCTGTTAATCCTCTTGACTCCACTTCTGCGATAAGGCGCTGAATAATGGAAGGTACCGCCCCAGGAGAAATCTCGCCATCGGGTGATTCCCGCTTGAGTAGCGTCTCAAGGTCTACGCCGAACACTGCGAAGTGTGTCAACACAAGTGGCATTACAAGTCAAAATAACCAACGCACCAGCCTTAGGGTTTCTCGAGGCTTCCCCAGCACCTAGAAGATGGTCGGACATCTGCATCTTCGAGTTCTGGCCCATGTACGTCAGACGACGTTTAGCTGCAGTCTTCGACACCCGATCAATCGTCTCGATCCACTTCTTCATCTCGTTCTTGTCCATAGCCTGCAAGAGATAGTGTCCGCCATCTTCTGTGTCCAGTTGGAAGGTGAACGACCGTTCGTTGTTGATGAACGCGGAGACCCGAGCGTCAACGATGTTAAGAACCATCGCCGGTTTGTGTAGAGGAACGAAGTCGAGCTCGGCGGGCGTACGCTTCGTTGTCGAAATAACGCTCTCAGAGATGAATGCACTTGAGATAGGGCGCATGAAGTGCATGATGGCAGAAGAGACACTGCTCTTCTTCGTACGATGTTGTTTGGCGCTGGTTGCCTGAGGGCGACGGACGTGCATTGCTTTGTTGAGGTACTCTTCACGTTTATCTTGCCTTTGTTGCTCTTGTCGCTTCTCCTTACTCAGCCTGTCGCGCAAGGCCCTGTCGCGTTTGTACTTCTCCTGTTGAAGGCTCACCAGAGTGTGGAACGGACGAGGCTGCTTGCGACTAGTGGGTGTTGGCGTCTGACATGCTTCACGGTAGGCATCTTCTCTGATAGCCCGAAGGTCGAAGTGAAAATTGGATAGCTCGTGCTCGATGTTGTTTAACCGCTCGAAATCCTTCTTGGTGTCGCCTACTCGATGGCGGGACCTCCGATATGACCCATGAGCATTCGTTGTCAGCAACCCGTGAAGTAACCTGTTGAAGTAAGAAACTATTCAACATGCACAAACTGACGTACGTACCTGCGCTTGTCAAGATTCACAAGACTGTTGCTCTCCTGCTCGAGGATATCGGGCATGCTGATCATCTCGAGCATGCGCTCTAGCAGCCATCCCATGTCGACCGTGAGAGGCTCTCGTGATACAGGTCGTTCAACGGCTGGTTTCTGCAGCAGGGACGCCAGATTATCGCATACCGACCCTCTAGAAGCCGAGAGTGTCTGCCAAGCACGGTGATACATACGACTCTCCACACTGAGAATAGCAGACACGATAGCTGCCTCAACGAACGATCGGATAACCGGCTTCTCAATGGCTGCACGGTCGCCTTCACCAGGTTCCGAGTTGCGACGACGCGCAATTTCGATCGCATGAAGCAAGGTTTCCATACGAGCTTGACGGGCTTTCAGACCGATCCGAGGAGCAGCGACCTTCGATACGAGCCACCTCTTGATGATTGCAAAGGCACGGATACAAGTGCGCACTGAGGGAGGCAGATGTCGATAGAGCGACTCCTGGCCAAGCTCGGAGATTGTAGGCGAGATATCGATATCTTGAATGTATGTATGGATCGACTGGATTTCCACTTCATCGGAGATAGAGGTAGGGTCTCGATTCAAGAACCAGCCGATGCGGTCGGCAGATTGCACTTCGAGGATGTCCGCGGTGAAGAATAGATCCTAGTAAAAGCTCAGCTTAAGGACATAGCCCAGAATCTAATCACGCACTTCTTGAGTAACATTACGGAAGGCCGCGGCTGCCATAGCATCCATGTTGTTCACCAAATCCTCGGGTTTCGTTTGGTCGAAATCTGGTATTTCGGGTCCGAACAAGGGCACTGAGGCTTGCTCCGAGAACAATTCTGCGCTCGAAACGGCTCGGACAACTGGTCGCATCGTTTGCAACATAAATGATTGGAAGACAGCTTTTCTGTTCTCATTGATAGTTGCAAAACCCCGCCGTACCTGGGGAACTTCGGCGGCTTCGGGAACAGGGACGTGCTCCGTTGGATTATTGAAGAAAGCGACGAAGGCAGAGTGCAGCTGAGAGTCATCCAACGCATCCTGGGCACCGCCACCTTCGTGTATCCACCGACTTATCGCCTCGAGAACTTCCGTTCGGGCGCGAACTACAGCCGCGACTTCTGCGGAGGGAGGAGACGCTGACCTGACCTGTGCGCCGACATACTTCTTCCGCAGCAGCTAGTGATTTAGAATAAGCTTTCCTCTTTCTGTATTTCGTTTTTTGAGCGGAAAGACTAAGACTTACCTCAAAGAAGACATGCGGGGTGATAAAGCTCCTGAACGTATTCCACCAAACTTTGCAGAAATCATCCATATCAACCCTCAGCTCCCGAGTCTTCTTGTCGTTCAGAGGCATCTCGCCGTTGTCATCCGCCACTGATACAGAGACGCCATGTAGGCCTTCGACAAGGACAGTGACCAACCTCTCGAGTGTGCCAGCTTGGATCACCACGCGGAGCGGCCTCTCTGTTGATAGACTCTCCGGTTCAAAGCTAGGCTTCTTCGACAGCGCTGGGAGCGAGCTTCGCCGAAGCTGGCTCGGCTTCCGCTCTAAACCCTTCTGGCCTGGCTTGACGCGCACCGACGGGTTACGCGCGAAGCCGCTCTTCTCTGCTGGCGACGCTTCCACACTGGAGCTCGGCGGTCGCGAAGGAGGCCTTGATGTGGTGGCTGGATCAGCAGGTTGCACAAGCAGCATGAGCTCGCCATCATAAACCATGATGACAGTCCCGCCGAGGTCGAACCCGTTCACCTTCGCAGCCTCAGAAGTGACTCGTGGCTGGACGTTGTGCAGCTCACGCAGATACTGTAAGTCTTGAATGTTCATCGTCGAGGCGGTGCTGTCTAGGCGGCCACGGAAGAGAAGTGAACGATTGATGCATGCAGCAGTCGGCAAAGGCTCAGGGAAGAGGAGGGGCGTCAAGAGATGGAAACTGTTCTGTACCGGAGGGCGGGTCCAATATAATGGCTCGAACATACCCTTGCGACGCGGTTCGACGGCAAGAGAAAGAGACATGAATTGATCGATCCTGGTCACGCATGTTAAAGCAGCACCGCAGAGCTAAAGACGCGCTTACCTTTGGAACTTCGTCTGAAGGCTGCCAGCGAGGTAATCGGGTGACGATAAGTCATCCCAATGAGTGGCAAGGATCTCGACGTCGTCAGCGTTGTCCTTGTTGTGCTTAGGGTCGATCTGACGAGAAGCGAGAGAGAAGTCGGTTCTCAAGCTGTCGTATGAGCGCCAAGCGTCTGCTAGCTTGTCCACGATCCAGTCATCGCTATCGCGAAGAGCCGCAGAGTTGAGCGCAGAGTGCATTTGCAAGATGCGGTCGCCAGCCCAAGGAATTGTCTTCGGTTCAGTCGTCTTCGACGTGTCCTGCCCGTCATGCGGGTACACCCACGATTGGGTAATGCGCAGCGCTTCACCGTCGACCCGTTTCCAGACCTTATCCAGCCGAGCAATAGGCCGCGCGCACAAGGCAGACAGGATGGCGCGCCAAGCACATTCATCGCCAGTACGCCGACATAGTTCGGCGACCCGTGCCCACGCAGATATCGCGTCCGAGCGAGTGTGTATTCGTGTTGGATGGGTACTTCGCGCGTCAATCGAGCTTCCCGCGAAGGTAGACGAGGAATGGGCTGTTGTTGACTCGGACATGAGGACCTGGAAGAGGACGATCCTCGTGAGCCAATGGAGTTCCCCGTCGATGCCAACGAATGGCGCGAGCGGAGAATGCGCTGGGGCGGGCGCATCAGAGACAGAAGTCGACTCGTGTTCGGGATGCTCTCCGTGCTCGGATTTAAGACATGCGGTGACGGTGACGTTATGGGGAGTTTTCTGCAGAGCGCGCAGATTGTGAACGTACAAACTCCGCGCGATAACCTGTGGGTCCAGGTTCATCAGGATGTCCCTGTTAAAGCCGTTGCGATTAAGCACAGCGTGCCAGGGCTTGATGCGCGAGGGAGCGGGCGCCTTGGGCTGCGGTGGTCCGCCCAGGGCGTCCAACAGCGACATTATACGATCTCCTCCACCAGGGCGCGGAGAAAACGCACCCAGGTCGGGAGAACCAACAGCTCCGCTTATCTCCGTGGCGGACAAAACGTCAGGCGATGCGCTGTACAGGCCCTGCATGGAGGAGGACTGGGAAAGACCTCCCGGTTTCGACGTAGCTTCACCAGGTGCGGGGAAGTTAGATATGGTAGTGTTACACCAGTCGCCCCAGGCAGCGCTCTCGACTGGCTGACCATGGTAGGCGACATACAAATCACCTAGCCAACACACTTTCTCCCGGGCCGTCTGCTGCATCCTTTCGTCGGCCCCTGTAGTATCAACCAGCATGGTACAGCATCTGCGGAATTCATTCTCGAATTGCGCGCGGTCTACGACGGCAGGGAGCGCGCATATAATCGCTGAAGAGAAGTCGCGCCATCCAGAGGAGAGTTCATCAGCGCTCGCAGGGTCGCGGAATGTCGTGTGGAACACAGCTTCATGAATCAGAGAGTCATATGTGCCCTTCTCGACGGCACCGTCCTTGAAAACCAAAGACGGATGAGTGCTGCTACCCCAGAATGCCCGCTTTCGTCGGCCTTCCTCCCGCTCTTTGCCCTTGCCACCTCGCTGGGAGATATCGAAATCCTGCAACTCTTGGGGTTCTTCCGTAACGCCTTCATCTTCCAAAACGACGACCAACTCCGTGGGGAATAGCTCCTTAATACCAGCACTTCGATCCGAAGGAGGCTTGTAGAAGTACAGCTTTGAGCCTTTGAGTACCAGCTTGAATGGCTTCCAACCCTTCGCGAGGGTGAGCCCACCGTAACCCGACATGTAGGACTGATGCGCCTTAGAGTTCAAAGCCGTGGGCGAGAATTCCATGAGGCGATTGATGAAGCCTTGACTGTAGACGAGCTGAGACGAGCGCTTTTCACTCTTGGAATCTTCGCTTCCCGGCTCGACGATTGTCGGCGGGGCAAGAAGAGATGAAGATACACCAGGTCGATCCAGAGGGGTAGGCACGTCAATATTCATGGGGGACGCAGATCGGCTGCCGCTAGAAGAACCACCGAAGCCGAAGGGGAAAGCCGCCCTAGAGGATGAGCCAGAGCTTGCGTTACTTGAGCTTTGTCCTACTTTGTCCTTGCTCGACTCTGCGTCTGAAGCGGAGTAATTTTTCCGCTTTGGACTGGGAGGAACCATGCTTAACTTGGGGGAAGTTAACTTCGAGGGCAACCGAGGGGTGAATGAGTGCGAGCGCGCATGCGCATGACCCGATGTCTGCGACAAGGGCGTGACCGGAGATGTGCCAGGGCTCGCAGACGAAGAGCCTGACGTAAGAAGGCCGCTACGATTCGGCGGAGAGGACGAGGGGGTCTCAACGGTAGTGGTACTGATCACAGGGAACGGGTACGAGGTAGAGCTTTGGGGTGACGGTGAGTTACCGCTGCTTACGCTGTCGTTTCGGTTGTTCCTGTAGCTTTGCACTTTGTCCTGGAACAACGTGTCGACAAGGCTCAAACTAGGTGAAGCTGGACGCGCGAGCTTTCCGAGATCGTCTGCCGACTTAGACCACGGCTTTCGCGACATGCCTCTTAGGTCGCCAAGTCCTCTTGATGTTAGACCACGCGACGGAGACGAAAGGTCACGGGAGACGGATCCACCTTGGCTGTCATCGTAGTGAGTAGCTGTCCTCCCCAGAGACAGGTCGTACACAGATCTGCTTCCGCTTGGGATATGTAGTGTGGGTTCCGGGTGTAGTTGATCGAGGATGGGGCGGGGGTCAGTGGGATGGGATATCTTCGGCTTCCTGACAGAACTTGAACTGGATCGTGGTTCGTTCGAGCTGATTGAGGTGCGTCCCGGTACGGCACCACTAGAGACAGATCGCGTGAACCATTTCTGGGGCTTGAATAGCTGAGAGAAACCGGTAGACGGCGAGACAGAGCGGGGAAACGAGGAACCAGGCGAACGGGAACCTGCCTGTGGTAAGCCAGTATCTGGTGGGATCAGTGTATTGATGGATGGAGTCCCTCGTTTCTGGGGCATGACAACGAATGCGTGTTGAAGAGAGCGGAACGAGCTGTCTGTGGTCTGCGGGGTTCAAGCCATAGACGTCTACGACCAGAGCAACACGTACCCAGCGTAAACCAATCAAGTCCTGCTTCACCCTCGTGTTTCACCTCGCCAACAGCTCTCAGGACGACGTAAAAATCGTGGAACGAGTGATTGCGCCCGGCCTTTCCTGCAGATGAACTAAGCTATTTCGTTTCTTCCACTGAGACTGGAGCTCACCTTCAAAGGCTCGGGATTGCTGATGCAAATATTACTTCACTTCTCTAATTATCTGCTGGCGGACGAGTACGAACATGAGAGATACAGACGCGTCTTAATTTGGTACTTCTGCGCTGTCGCCAGAGGCCTCGGTTCTTGCCGAGATAGGCGATCTAGCAACCAACCCTTTTCGGAACAAATTTGGGCGGTAATAATACCAAACCTGCCGCCGGGACCATAAGAATGGCGGGGGAGAATTCGGCAACGACTAGCGGGATTTATGTAGCGGTGAACCGGTGACGGCCAGGTGTTCGTAAATTCTGACGCGCCTTACCTACAACAGCATTCGGACGACACAGCATTCCACAATAGGCCGACACATAACGTTCACTCCAGGACATTATATCGGCGGCAACTACCCTGTGATCGCACAGGTCACCGGTGCCGCAAAGACCTGACGTTTCGTTGGGCAGTAGAAGACCTTACGGCATAGTTCCGCGAAGTATGCACCGAACTTTGCCAAACATTCCCCTCAGGCACAGCTAGGATTTCCCGCCGACAGCGCTCAGGGACTGTTGGAAGAGAAGTTAGATTGACATCTAAGCCGCCTCTTCAAGTTTTCAATTACCATTTTCCAAGCTCTTCGCAGAGTGTTCATATTTTCTCTGGGAATCGTGAGGTCCAGCTCAGCTAAAGAGTCTTCAACATGAAAAAAATGCGTAGCTTTTGAGAGTACTAGTGGGTACTCACCTTGCCCCTCATCATTGAGCGACTTGAATTAGTGCTCGTGCTGTGAAAAGCGGCGAACAGCAGAGGCCACATCGTGGGGTAAATATTATATATAAATTTCACTAAATGTAAAATCTCCTTTTATGCCTCTGATACGGCCTCTATATCGACGCGATATGCCAATGGCCGTCGTATCCATCGAGCGAGACCAAGCATCACGCAATCACATGTGAGCTCGAATGTGGCCCACTCGTGTGCTCCCTCTGCTTGGCGAGCTCTGAGGTAAACCTCCGTTATGCTATGAAGAATATTTCGGCTGGATATGATATTTGTCTGACACACGAGAATCAGTTACTCACCTGTAGCCCGATCACAAGGTCGAGGCAACCGACGATACGTGGCATTCTGAAATTCACAACGCGTCCATGGGTAGCAGAGGCCCTGGCAAAGTTGGTAGGATACCAAAATCTCAAACTGCATGGGGAACTTGAAGCGTTTGAAAAACGAGTTCCAGCTTGGAATTGAGATCTTGAGACCTCGCGCGTTCACTCGGAATACTGACGTGTAAGTAGAAGACGTAAGTCCCGGTAAGTAATGTGAACGAATTATATAAGGTTCCGATAAGGTAGAGAATGAAACCTTGGGCTCTTACTGGGCGTAGCAATTTCGCTACCATACGTAGCGCTCATTCATAGCAGCATTTTTGTCACTTTCATGGCGGAAAGTGACCTGCCATCCTACCGATTAATGTTCTAGAAAGGTTCCACGAGATGCTGTTGAAACGCGACGCTCTTTCTTGGCGCGGTCGCACTTTGCAGAGTGGTACGTCGCGTCACCTTTTCTCGACCAGCCAGCCATCTCCAGACGGACCCATCATCCATATCCCTCGATCTTCCATCTATCCATTGGGCGTAAACAACAAGTCTGGTCCCCTCTTCCGAGATGTATCATGGACAGTGCACCCTAAGGATGCCTGGGTAGTACTCTCTGCGACTTCCAGTGGGGCCAAGACGTCCTTGCTGCAAGCCCTCACCGGCCATCTCAGAATCTCCCCGCCACCACCGCCTCCGTATGGACTACTTCCGTTCCTGAAGAACCGCGATCCTCATAAGCACGTGTCCCTCGTGAGCTTTGCCCACAGACCTCAGGCGGCTGGCGGCGCGTTCTACGACTTTACAGCTCGATATGGGGCAGTCAGAGAGGAGGATAGGCGTACTCTGCGCGACACGTTCTTCCCTGAAACCGCGAAGCCGCTGCACGAGCTTGCAGTTCCGGCCATGTATACGCATCCAGAAGACGTCGACCAGCTGCACGCTGACCATGCTAAGGAACAGCTTCGCAGGGAGCTGTTTGGGGACCTGGTCACCAGACTGGACTTGCACCGTTTCCTTGATCTACCCATGATAGCCCTAAGCAACGGTCAGACTAGGAAAGCCAGAATCGTGAAGGCTCTGCTTGAGCAGCCCGAGCTGCTACTTCTTGACGAACCTCTCAGTGAGTTTCGCGCTTTAGTTGCTCGCACACCCTGTGCTGATTTCCTCTTGCAGCCGGCCTTGATGTACAGACGCGCGCACTGGTGTTGTCCCTTTTCCATTCTTTACATGTCAAGAACGACCCACACATCATATTGGGCATGCGTCCGCAGGATCCCATCCCGGACTGGACCACTCATCTTGCCTTAATCCGCCAAGACGGGACTATACACGCCGGCAAGAAGGAGGAAGTCCTGGACGTTGCTGCCAACACGCAGTTGCATTCAGGCTGGTCAGCTCCTACTTCTAGGAAGCATGCTCGAAACGAGACCGGCAACGCGGTTGTCACTCTTGCAGGAGTCAATGTAGCATATGGGGATCGTATGGTTCGTCTCGGACAGCAAATCCAGACTTTATCTCGACTTAACCCTCCATTAGGTGCTCAAGGACATTAACTGGACGATCCATGAGGACTCTAGATGGCATCTCCAGGGCGTAAACGGCGCCGGAAAGACCACCCTCCTCGCCATGGTCACTGGCGAGCACCCTCAGTCCTACACCCAGTCCTCTAGGCTTACGCTCTTCTCCCGCCCGCGCGCCAGATGGCCCACTCCGCACCTGCACGCGCGCATCGGCCGCGTCTCGCCAGAAATGCACAATGCGTTCCCGCGGCGGCGCGGCATGTCCGTCTGGGACGCCGTCGGCACCGGCTTCGAGGGCAACTTCGTCCCGCGTGGCCGCTTCCGTGTTGGCTTCGGCGCGGACGGTGCAGAGCTCGCGGACGGCAGCGCGGACGAGCGCTGGCGCGTCCGTCGCATGTGGGAGGTCCTCAGGGCGCTCGGGCCTGCGGCATGGCGGGGCGAACCGCAGAGCGAGGCCGAGGCGCGTGAGGCGCAAGAGTTCTCGAAGAGGTCATTCGCGGACCTCGCGCCGGGCGAGCAGTCGATGGTGCTGCTCATGCGTGCGCTCGTCGGTAGGCCGCCGCTGGTGCTGCTAGACGAAGCATGGGCTGGTATGGACGAGGGAATGGTGCAGGTGGCACGTGCATACCTTCGGGAAGGAGGGCTGGAGGACGGTCAAGCATGTATTGTGGTCAGTCACTGGGAAGAGGAAGTGCCTTGGAGCAGGGAAGACGGGGTGCAGCGGTTCCGGCTGAGTGATGGCCAGGGATACATCGAATGAGCTACACCGATCTTGTAGAATATTGCTCATTTACTTCCGGACAATGCGACTAGAGTTTTTGACTGAAAGACCACATCAGGTGAGAGTGTGAGCATCACAGACATTGGGCTAGGCTCAGTCTTCTTGCTCTGATTGGTAAGTGCGCCTGTGATATGTGTGGGATCGTCCAGCTTTAACAAGGATCAAGGCATAAGAGGAACGTTTCTATTCATGCGAACTAACAGTACTAGTACAACAGAAGACATTGGTGCAATGCTTCGAAACGACATACAAGGCTTGAAAGCACAGCAAACGAGACGACTACATAGCGGGATGGCCGCAACGGCGGAATTGTAATAAGCCAGAGACAAACACGTCTTGCGAGAAATCGTGATCCAACGAGCCGCATTCTGCAGAGAAAGGGAAATAAAGCAAAAGATTCATTTTTCAGCTCACATTCGTCAGTACAGAGACGTCGATCAGCCCCAGGTAGACTCGGCTGACTTGCCCCACCCTCCGTTGGTGCTGAAACTGGCGACCGATTGCGTATCGTCGTCCTCCATCTGGTCCGCCCAGCTCTTCTTCTCTTTGCCCTTGCCCTTGGCAGAGGCAAGTTTCGGGGGCCCGCCTGTCCGTCTCGCTTTGGCATCTCGTGCAGGCTCGGTTCCCCGGCCGTTGTTCGCATGCTGGTCGACGGCGCTCGGAGGAGTGGAGTCGTCCTTGTTGGCCGCAGCATTCATCTTGCGTCCGCGTGCAGGACGGGCCGTCGGTGTCTTTTCATCCGCTCCACCTGCAGCCGCGCCTGGTCTGCCAGCAGCGAGGTGTGCAGGCCTGCTGCGCCCAGTCTGTGGCGCGCCAGACGTCTCGGGTGCCGAGGAGCCATCGTTCTTCGCTGAACTTGCCGACGCAGCTTTTGCAAGGTGGGCGGGTTTCGACCGGGGCTGAGTGAACTCGATCTTTTGGTCCGGCTGTTTCTGCTTTTGCTGCGGCTGTCCAGCTGCGGATGGTGAAGATGTGGAATCGGACGCAGGAGCTGCTAAATTCTCGTCGTCAGACAGTCTCCAAAGATGTAACGCGAATAAGAATGACACCTTGAGCCTTGGCTTTCTTCTTGTTCGCCTTCCGCTCCGCAGCAGCCTTCGTCTTCTCATCCTCTGCCTTCTTGCGCTCGAGCTCCCGGAGCTGCCTGGCGTACTCCCTGCAGATGCCCTTCTTGCATATGACGCCGTGCGCCTTGCAGAGCAGCTCCGTCGGCCCCGCCAGTTTCTCCTCGACAGCGTTGTCCGCCCACAGGTTCTCCTCTGCATCCTCGTCGGGTGCGGCGAACTGCTCCTGGTCGTACGCGTACTGTCCTGAGCCCCACGCGTCCGTGCCGAACTCGGACGGGGCACCGTCCATCACGAGCGACTCCATGAGGCTCACCATGTCGTCGCCGTCGGGATCCACGATCGACGCACGGTCGGGGTACTCGGACACCGCGGGCGTCTGGCCGATGCTCCCGCCGTCGCTCTCGGTCGAGGACCCCGCGACCGAGGACGTGCGCGACGGCGCAGAGGTCACGGTCCACGCACTAGAGGCCGCGCTGCGGGATGAGCTCCAGGCAGAGCTGAACCCACCCATGTTCGGGCGTGCGAGACCCGGAGGCGCCGCGTACTCTGGGGCTGGTGCGGCGAGCACCGACGGAGAAGCTCCCGAACCCCCTGGAAAACTTAAGTTGAGAATTATACTTTCGCTTTGAGAATTTAAACGTACAAGCATTCGGTCGCCTAGTTACGGGAGACACTAGAGTCCCGCGCTGAGTCGCGTTTGTCTTCGGCGTTTGACCAGGTGCACCATTTTTCCGCGCGTTTCCATTCGTAGCGGACCTTCGTGCCTCTTGCCAACCTTCAGCTCCCACTGTATACAATGTGAGAGCTAATAATAATGAAGGTGCCTGCTAATGGCACCCACCTGGGGGAAGATGAAGCACCGGCTTCGGGGGAGGTTGGAAGTCTTTCACAGGTAGCGGCCGACAGAGAGGTTCGTTCGTGGCATCTTCGGGAGGAACAGCGCACCAATGCGTTTCAGGGTACGGATAGCTGATCAGTCTTTGATTGAGGGTGAGATCAAATTCAATCTGGAAGGCTGCGTGTGACAGACCGGTTGACAGGATTCCACTCTGAGAACCACTGCTCTCGAACAAAAATGCACTTCCAACCTGGCTCTCATAATCGTTATCAGGCTCATTAGGTCACCTGAGCTGTGCGACTCACCATATTTCTGCACCTCTCTCCCAGTGTTGTATTTACAGTAGAATACTTTGGAGACACGCTCCCTGTTCTCCGGAGCAGGGTTTTGGAAGACCTCTGACCAGCGATGTTCACCAAGTAGCCTGTCAAAGTTGGGGAAGTTGCGCATAACCTCGATGATGATCATGTTTGGAGACTAAGCTCAGCCAGATTTGAGATCAGCTGAGCATACGGAGGGTCAGACATGGCATAACGTACTGCTGGCTTGTAGAAGAAGGCTAGGAAGGGTTCCTTGCCTGTACAAGATGCAATCCAAAACGCAAACTCCTTCTGATCCGCGAGTAGTTCCATGTTTGCATGTGGTGGGTATGGGTGCACGACTGTAAAATATTTAGGTTCATCGTCCGGCGGCGGCGGGGTCTTTTCGCGTCTGGACATCTTGAGGGTGCTGCCCTAGTGATATGACGATGCAAGAAACGTCTAACGGCGTTGCACGTTAGTTCAATAATGAAACGAATGTTTGTGGCGCGAGCAGATGATAGTGTGAGACAAGCTTGGCACAGTGTTTGCGGACGCTCATCACGCGTCCAGAAAAGGAAGGCATGAAGATCCCTCGGCCACTGCGCCCTGCTCAGCCAGAGTAACATAGATACCGGTATATACCCTTGGTGTGGCACAGCAGCAGTAGTCGCGGAGCATCACGGCGAATTATGTCCCGAGAACCTGCTCGTTTGGGTTGATTGGTGAAGCCTGGTTGCACCGGCAGACAATGCGTGGCAAGTATGATCTAGAGCGAAGAGTCAGCAAAACACGCAAGAGAAGCTTTTCGGGGGTATACATTCATGAAAGGCGAGCAGAAGGCTTCAAACTCAGGCCTTCAGGGCGAGGCTGCTTGTCATGAATATTACATATTCCGGATGGTTCTCCCGGATTCCATAGTATTCTTTCACGTTCTATACACCTTCGTATATTCGTAGGATAATCTAGGTATTGAGTCTGACATGTATATAAGGGGCCTGTATTGCTCAATAACAAGCCAGACTTGAGCTGGTCTTTCCTCACTCACATTCCTCTCGTCTGTCTCCTCAGCATTGTCGTAGCTCAGTCCAGTTGGATTGTTAGTTGCTGACATTAGCTCGAGTCTCCACCAACTGCCCTACAACGATCCCCGTCACTCCCACACCAACCATCACCCATCTCCACATGACGATCCACCCTATAAGCACATCCGACTCTCACCCTAAATCCTAACCCTACCGAATTCTATCACATCAAGACCCGGACCCCTGGAACCCCTTTTCGTGCACTTGCACAACCTTTTACCACATCATATCCCCGAAGTCACCTCTGTAATCACTAGCCCTTAGGCGGCTAGACAGAGTTCCGTCCTATTAGAATCGTACACTGCCCTACCATAGGTGGTGTTAAACGCTTTGCGCAGTGCAAGCAGATATTCCTGAGTACGACGTGGCAACCGGCTGAGGCTGGGCATCGGAAAAGAGATAGCAGTTAGATCGACGATCCCTGTCAGGGCGTCGGACCGAAGAGACATAATTGCTCTTTGGGCTGCTATACTATTCCTAGAACTGTATTAAGATAGCGTTTCGGTTCTTTCTCAGAAATTCCTATCTTTGGTGAACTCTACCCCTGATCTGGTTGTTACAACATGATTGGTCCCAGGGTTTGCTGCAATCAGCTCCACGGACCCGATAGCATATGACAACGCTCTTCTGTGACTGTAGAGGATATCAACATCGAGTACTAGGAGAGAGAACTATCTACAAACGCGGAGATCCCGTACGATACTGTGTACAACAACTGTGTCCGCACTCTCCACACAATAATACTCGTTGTCCACGGTGTGAAGAGGGATTACGCAGAGAATTAGTAACAAGGGTAAACACCGGAGAACCTTCCGAATCTCTCGCAGACCCTGAACCCACAGCATCTACCTCAGAACCCAGAGGAATACGCGACACCCTCGATTCAGTCACCGAACATCTCCGATCAATCGCCCTCGGAGAATCTGAAGTACCACCAGAGGGACCACCTGACCCCATGGAAGAAGCCGTAGAGGATTCCGAAGCATCGAACCCGCCCTCTCGACGCTCTCCCACTCCACCCTCATCCCCATCTGATCCCGGCGTGATGGCCGAGAACCAAGACAATGCTGCGCTCATAAATGGAAGCGCAATGAAGCCCAATGCCTTCGATGGCACGAAATCCAAGTATATCGCTTGGAAAACACAGATGAAACTCTACGTAGTTACACAAAGGAAGCGACAACCCGAGCAATTTGACAGGGTCTTAATGATCTTGTCCTACATGAAAGGAGGCCATGCTGGCAAATACGTCGCCACATACATGAAGAAATACGACATCGATGAAGACACAGTGATCCAGACCACAAACGAACTGTGGACAGATTTGGATAAGCATTTCCTAATCGACGAACAGGCCGAAGCCTACGATCGACTGCAAGCAATGCAAATAGGTGCGCTATCGGCGCAAGAATTCTTCTCGAAGTTTGAATTATGCGCCTTCCAGGCAAACATTCACGACTTTGAGAACCACTTCCAGGAACTCAAGTCACTTCTGGAAAAAGCAATTCGGGCCGATATCATTCGGCTTCTTTACAACTTGTCGGAAGAAATCCCGACTACGTACGCGCTGTACAAGCAAAGAGTCGCTCGCATCGACCTAAACCAACAGCAGTATCGTCGGCAAAACCCTCAGTCCCAGCAGCAAGGACAGTTCCAACCGAGACAACAGCAGACGCAGAACACATCGCGAGCACAAACTAATGCACCCGCATCAGCAGCTGGTACGGCGCCAGTTCAAACACGGCGCGACGGAACCGGTGTCACATTCAGCGGCAGGGGACAACCGATGGATTTAGATCAAGCTCGACGCCAGGGTCTCTGCTTCCGATGTGGCTAACAGGGCCACATATCACGAAATTGCCCTAATCGGCAACAAGCTCAACAAGTACGAGCCGTGGAAACCCCAGTAGTTCCCACCACCAATACATTCGCACCACTCGCATCACTTAACGAAGCTCCTGCTGCGACGGCAGAATCATTCGACTGGAAGACGGCAATCCGCGAAGAAATTCGCGCGGCCATGAAGGGTTTTGCAAACGGTCAGCCGGGTGCGTAGCCGAGTTGACCGAAAGAAATTTCACGAACTATCTGTGTTCTTGGTTTGGAGTTCCCATGTATATACAAAAGAAAGGGGCGTCCGCAGAGCGGCGCGGAGAGGCTCAACCCTCTTGCTTAATTCCCCCCAATAAAAAATTGTTCTCTACTCCAGAATCACAGACCGAATCTACGCAGTGGCAACGCCACACTCCTTGGACGGCGGCTTGGATCCGCCAGTGGATAATCAACAAAGAAGCCGCAGTGCTTAGATTGTTGACTGAATGGGTACACTCAAAGAAGAGTGTTGACGCCTCAGAAGCCTGTATGAACCAAATCAGGCAGATGAAAGAAGAAGAAGCAATAGACTTCTTAAACGAATTACGAAAGCAGCCTCGATTTATTCGAGGAAGGAAGGAGACACAGATGGACGTCCCAATGATTGTTACTACCCTGGACACGCAACAGCGCCTATCAGTCAAAGCACTATTAGACACAGGATGCACCGGATCATCGATTGATGCGCAGTTTGTCCGCGATAACAATATTGCTACAAAAAAACTGCCATCGCCGATCCCTGTCTACAACGCGGACGGTACACATAATGCAGGCGGCGCCATTACCGATTTTGTGGAACTAAGAGTAGAGATTCAGGATCACATTGAACAGCTTCCTTTCGCCGTTACCAACCTGGGAAAGACTCCAATCTTTCTCGGATATGAGTGGCTCCAGATTCATAATCCATCTATCGATTGGCAGGAACAAATCATTAAGTTTGATCGGTGCCTGGTTACCTGCAAATACACCGCCTGGTTAATTGATATTGATTCCGACCACGAAGAGCCCAGCGATCCGGAGGCTCGCCTAGAAGAAGGGGATAGAATCTTTATCCTAGACCACGAAACCTACTTTGCTACGGGAGCAGCGCGTATTCGCACCACGGCCACTGATCTAGCCATTAAGGAGAGTCTGAAACACGAGGCTAAGACATTTGAAAACACCGTCCCAAGTCACTATCATGACTACTCCGATGTGTTTAGCAAAGAAGACTTCAACTCCTTACCGAAAAGACGACCCTGGGACCACGCGATAGAACTCACACCAGGCACGCAACCGATCAGTTGCAAAGTTTACCCAATCTTGGTAAATGAACAAAAAGAACTTGATGAGTTCATAGAAGAGAACCTTCGAACTGAAAGAATCTGACCATCAAAATCCCCGTGGGCTTCTCCGTTCTTCTTTGTCAAGAAAAAAGATGGACGACTTCAACCTGTACAAGACTATCGGAAGCTGAATGAGCTAACGATTAAAAACCGCTACCCACTCCCCTTGATACAGGAACTAGTGGACAAGCTGAAGCAGGCACGGTACTTTACGAAACTAGACGTCCGATGGGGATACAACAACATCCGTATCAAAGAAGGAGACAAAGAGAAGGCGGCGTTCCTAACAAATCAAGGACTATTCGAACCACTTGTCATGTTTTTCGGCCTTACCAATTCCCCGGCTACATTCCAAACCATGATGAATGATATATTCCAAGATCTCATCAGTCAAGGACACGTGGTAGTCTATCTGGACGACATCATGATCTTCACTCAAGATTTAAAAGAACACCGTCGGATCACGCGGCAAGTCCTTCAGATCTTAAGGGAACACAAACTTTATCTGAAACCAGAAAAGTGCGAGTTCGAGAAGTCAGAAATAGAATACCTCGGCATGATAGTAGGAAAAGGGGTTGTACGCATGGACCCAGTCAAAATAGAAGGAGTAGTCAATTGGCCAAGACCCGAATGCAAACGCGACATTCAGGCATTTCTCGGTTTTACCAACTTCTACCGAAGGTTTATCTGAGACTACAGCAAGATAGCAAAGCCGCTCAGTTCACTAACGGGCAACGCTACCTTTGAATGGACCGTAGAACAAGAAGTAGCATTCACAAGCCTAAAGAACGCTCTCTGCACAGTGCCAGTACTGGTCATACCCAATGACAATGACCCCTACCGAGTGGAATGTGATGCTTCAGACTTTGCCATAGGATCAGAGCTAGCACAGAAACAAGACGGCAAATGGAAGCCCGTCGCTTATCTGTCCAAGGCCATGACAGCTGCCGAAAGAAATTATGAGATTTACGATAAAGAACTTCTCGCAATCATGACTAGTCTTGATGAATGGCGACAGTACCTCATGGGCACCGTACATCCGTTTGAAATATGGACGGATCACAAGAACCTAGAATACTTCCGAAAGCCGCAGAAACTCAACCGGCGTCAGGCCCGATGGGTAACGGAATTAGCCGAGTATTAATACTCATTACATCACAAACCTGGGAAAACTAATGGCAAGGCGGACGGACTATCCCGTCAAAAGCGACACAATGCAGGAAAAGAGGACAATTCTGATATCGTATTATTAAAACCAGAACATTTTCGTGCTTTAATCCGTAGTACTGTATTTAGTTTGGAAGGAATCGACCAGGACTGGGTCGCGGAAATTAAAAAATACAAAAAGAACCAAGATTCGCTAGTTACCGTAGCTCTACAGAACAAGGACAGAGACTGGAATGAAGATAGTACTAGACTCGTGACATGGAAGAACTGTATTTACGTACCAGTAAATAAGAAACTCCGTGAGCAGATCATCGCTCATCACCATGATACCCCATTGGCCGGACACCCCGGTCAATACAAAACACACGAAATGGTCACACGCAACTACTGGTGGCCTAGGATCCGAGAAGACATTCGGAAGTACGTTGCTGGATGCAAAAAATGCCAGAAGACCAAGGTTCACACCACGCGACCTACAGGACTTCTCTTCCCCAACGAAATTCCTACGCGACCCTGGGAAGTAATCTTCGTAGATAAGATAGGAGTATTACCGGAGTCCTTTGGGTACAACACTATTCTCGTAGTTGTCTGCATGTACTCCAAGCAGATAATCATGATACCGAGTAACATTGAACTCAATGCCGAAGGATGGGGAAAAGCACTTCGTGACCATGTGGTGGCACATCACGGACTACCCCGAAAGATCATCAGTGATAGGGGCACTGAATTCAAGAACAAGTTCATCTCCGAACTATACCGATCGCTTGGAATCGAAGCCAATCCCTCTACCGCGTATCACCCTCAAACTGATGGACAAACAGAACGTATCAATCGTGAAATAGAACAATATCTCCGATTATTCATTAACTATCGACAAGCTGATTGGGCCGAATGGTTGCCACTCGCAGCCTTTTCGTACAACAATAAAGTTCATTCATCCACCGGGTATACTCCATTCTTTGTCAATAAAGGGTACCACCCTTACAAAGGAACCCAACTGGTACGAGAGGGACTAAGTGAAAGTGTCCAACAATTTGTTGATAGAATGAATCGAGTACGCGAGGATACTAGCGCGGCTATCAGTCTAGCACAGGAATCTATGAAGCGCTTCTATGACCGAAAGAGAAAGAGCAGACCGGAGTACAAGGTTGGGGATAAGGTCTGGCTAGAAGGAATAAACATCTGAACAGACAGGCCAATGAAGAAGCTTGACGATAAGCGATATGGACCCTTCAAGGTCAAACGCAAAATCGGCGCTTCCGCCTACAAATTAGAACTCCCACGTCAATGGAAACAACACCCTGTTTTCAATGAAAGCCTTCTCAGTCCATTCAAAGAACCCGTGTATCCCTCACAACGACGTGAACCGGTAGTCCCTGACCTCATAAATGGCGAGGAAGAATGGGAAGTCGAAGATATTCTTGACTCTCGATGAGACCGAAATGGGAATCTTGAGTATCAGGTTCTCTGGAAGAACAGCCCCCACGGTGATTGCCGTTCCTGGGAATCACGAGCAAACTTGACCAATTGTCAAGAATTCCTCCAGGAATTCCATACGAGACGTCCCGATAAACTCGCACTTATGACAATTCAAATCCCCCCTCTGTTAACACGACCTGTCCACATACTTACGCGTGATACCACTCTTTTGGTACAAAGGATGGGTGGAATTCTTCCAAAACAAGGATCCGAAGAGGCAGCTGGTCTCGACCTCTACGCAGCCGAAAGCGTTAAATTGCCGGCACGAGATTGCAAGGTTGTCGGTACTGGTATCGCAATGCGTGCCTCTTATGGAACCTATGCGCGAATCGCGCCACGGAGCGGATTAGCCGTAAAAGGAATAGACATTGGCGCTGGGGTCGTAGACTGAGATTATACCGGAGAAATACGCATGGTGATGATCAATTCCACCAATCAACCTTTTCAGGTACACGCCGGTGATCGAATCGCGCAAGTCATCATGGAACGTATCGCGTCATGCGATATCGAGGAGGTTTCCAGTCTGTCGGAAACTCAGCGGGGGAAGGGAAGTTTTGGTTCTACTGGAAAATAATCGTGAGGACACGATTCTAGACGGAGGGGTAATGTCATGAATATTACATATTCCAGATGGTTCTCCCAGATTCCATAGTATTCTTTCACGTTCTATACACCTTTGTATATTCGTAGGATAATCTAGGTATTGAGTCTGACATGTATATAAGGGGCCTGTATTGCTCAATAACAAGCCAGACTCGAGCTGGTCTTTCCTCACTCACATTCCTCTCATCTGTCTCCTCAGCATTGTCGTAGCTCAGTCCAGTTGAAATGTTAGTTGCTGACACTGCTGATGTCCGCAGTTTCGTAGGCAAGCGTCAAAGATACACCGGCCAGACGCTCTGACTCTAGCAGAAACGCTCCTACTACTTACACAACTACATCTCTCATGGCACGCCTTTCTTTCCTCGCTCTTCTGGCTGCCGTGTGTGCTGGACTTGCTGCCGCGGGCCATGTCCAGCAGGCGCTTCAGACGTCCCTCAAGAGCGATAGATGGGGGTATCAAGACTGTACGTGTGTAACTGTCCAGATTACTACTCTTTATGACTTGCTGATGCGCAAGCAAGGCGACCCTGCCGATCCTGTTCACATTACTTCCATCGATATCTCCCCGGACCCGTTCCTGGACAAAATCTAACGGTAAAGGTTGTTGGTCAGGTGGATGAGGTTGTAGAAGTGCGCAACGTTTTCTCCTGCACGTGCTTGTCCAGCTGATGGGATTTGTGCAGGAGGGCGCGTATGCAGACGTGATTGTGAAAGTTGGTTCCATCAAGGTGATCGAGAAGGAATTCGACCTTTGTGAGGAGGCGTATGTATCATCCTTCTGGATACTATCACTCAGAGGGAATTAACATATCCTGAAGTCGCAAGGCTGAGGTCAACATTTCATGCCCTGCGGACAAAGGAGAGCACAACGTCGTCCACACTGTTACTCTTCCTAAGCCAATTCCGAAAGGTGAAGCTACCTTGTGGTGTTCCGCATGATATATGTAATTGACTGGTGCATTGTGTAGTGAAATTCTTCGTTAACATCCACGGCTACACTGTAGAAGACGACCCCTTGATGTGCCTCGATCTCTGGATTGATTTCAGGACTCCCAAGGGCAAGCTGTGGTAAAGTGACGGTATAGCACTCTCTGGACGGACTTTCTTTCTGATGTCCCATTATCCATGACATGCTTCCTATTCTTCCTGTTGTCTGCACAGTGCCTGAGTATTTTAAACTCAGTGCTTTAGGTTATAGCCTATCACTCCTGAGAAGTCAGTGGTGGCCCACGAGTCTCACATTGGAACACATATCTTTTGGGAGGTTGTGAGAACGATAGCTGAGTCCTACGATTTCGAGTGTCTTTGGAATTTCAAAGCTCAACACCAGCGGTTGGCTGCCATCAACATTACTAGAAGGATCAGATACAGGGACAACCAAATGAGCCTACTTAACAAACAGATAACATGGTATTTGTTTCACTGTGCCATATATCTTCGCCCCTGGTGAATGCATATGAGAGCCACACTTCTGGGGCACAACACAACCTCCGAGTACTATTTCCATGTTGACTCGTGGTCTAAAATGTACCTGTAGGAGGGTGCATCTTCTGTACAGAAATGAAAGATCTTCTTACCATGTCAGCTCTCTAGGTCTGTTGTGCTGCGTTCTGACCTTCTCTTGCTATTAGAAGGGGGAGGTCATTTTGTGGAGGCACGATGGCTTCACATTTAGAACTGTTTCTAGGTGTCATTGCCTATGTCGAATGATTTCTTCTGCAGCTAGTATGACGTTCATCTTAAGATGGTGCGCAGGTCAAGCTAGAGCTTCGCATATAGGAAGTAAATATGTGTCCTTGGAAGCGGCCAAGCAAGGAACACTGAGTGCATGCGTGGTCACATGAGATATTGGGACCGTGCTGTATTGCCAAGTTATGCGAGTGGCAGGTCTATGTACAAGTACAGTGGGTGAATATAGGCTAGAAGAACAAACGAAAGCAAATCGACAAGAAACAGACAGACAAATGTTATATAAGCTGAGTCCTAAAGTGGTAAGTCTGCAAGGAGCAGGCTTACAACTTCCCAAGGAGCACTTTCAATAATTACATGCTCACTTCTAAGCACGTGAATTTAGATGTGCTTTGACGTAATATTTCTGCATACATGCAATTCAAAATTACCATATGTTAGATACTAATGACAAGCACATTTAGCAACATGACTGTGCCGGAAACTGCCATGCCAGACACAACAGCAGCAGTCTACTCTTCTTATGAGCAACTCAGAAGACCTTGAGAAATGATACTTCAAGAAAACCTCTGGATGTTGGAGGTGTCATGTGCCTTAGTCTGTCTTAGGCATTGTTGAGACCCGTCTTGGAGGTGCTACCCGACACCATCAAGGCACCCAAGGCATGTCGGTCCGATCCCAAGACGCACAAGCAACGTGAAGACGTTTGGACATTTTTCTGATGGCCGCCTACATGCGAGCTTACAAGTAGTCGTGCCAAACCTGTATCTGTGAAGATTGTGCGCCCATATTGTATAGTATCGTATGCAAGCTCGCTGAGTAAAAGAGATTAGTCTGCAAGTCTTTGTGGGTGCGCACTTGTATTACGAGGATAAACAAAAAGACGATGTTACCCCATCATAGACTCGGCGGCTTCCGGGACTCGTGGATATGGGCATCAAGCGCCCATTGCCGATTCCCCTGCATAGTGTCATTCAGGACAATCATAGCACTCAAAATAAATATGATCTTGAACTGCAGACGGCAGTTGTCGCATGCAGACTGGTACAAATCTGTATATTTATATTTGTGAAGATGGGTAGTCATATACATGGTCATGGTATAGGTACACGCAGCTGCGAAATGTCCAAGGCTCAAGTGCAGTAGGCTGGGTGCAGTAGATGGTGGGAAGACACCCAAGAACAGCAGCGTCGCTGGAGAGCAGTATTTCCATAAGTATTAACATACACAGAGGGTCATTATATGGCCCTCTACCCAAACAACGCGTCATTGCTACCAAACAGGGACTCTTCACTCCACCCGAGTCTGCCATTGCAGTGCAGCTCAGTGGCGGCACCGGCCGACGTGATGACGGGCAGAGGGTACGCAAGGCTCAAGCCCTGTTGTGCCTTCTCCTGTGTGGCCTGTGCCTGCAGCGTTTCTGTTCAGCCCTGCATACTACATCAGCCAGTCAATCAATATGTGTATAACTGCGGTGCATGCACTGTTGGTGAGTAAGGTTTGGGTGTTAGTCGTCCTTGCAAACTGCCAAACCATAGGGCACAGGAGAGAGAATGTACCCTTTACAGACGTTACTCGGTGGCAAAGACTGGAAGTACCGAGCTGTTGTGTTAAGGTCGCAGTGCCAGTGACGGCTGCGCCTTATCCCAGGGCCAGCCAAACTCACGCAAGGATGCTCACGCAAGAACTGCCAGGCTCCGCTAATCGCTGGCGCCCAAGGACGTCTAGTCCTTTCTGTGTTCGCGCTGGGAGTTGCGCACCTTGCAGTTAGAGCTTGTATGACCGATAACGCACAGCAGGTATGTGAGTTGTTGCTCATATGCAGGCTGCCCGGGGGCTCAAGTCGGGCGTCAGCTGCTGAAACAAGTAGGCACCACGATCAGCAACAAGACGCAAGTCGCGGGCTTCTAGCTTTGAGCCTGCGATGCCTGATGGACATAGTGAAGACACGTGGAGAGGTGGTGCGATACTGCGGCTTGCAGGTTGGCTCGGGGTGCTAGATGGCGTGCGGTGCTGCATGACACATTCTGGGCATTGCGCATCGCACAACAGCAAAGCGAAGGTCAAGTGCTATTGTTGGTGTGCCGGCCCAGGGCATGTGGCGACATACAGCAAGTTGTGTATCGGTCTCAGGCCGACGTCACAAGCATGATGAGTGGTCCTTGGGCCTTGTGTCTGGGTCGTAGGCAGTGCAAGATGAGGGGTAGAGAGCGCCAGCCATGGAGTATACTCCATGGCAGACAGATCACTACTCTGAGATTCTTGTTTGAGCACGACACCAGAGCGAGGATCATATATGAGCACATGGGAAACTCTGACCTGGTATTTTGGAAGCGCGGGGGGACTGGATGCGGTGGAAATAACTGTGAAGGCTTTCACCACTCTGTGGTCTCATCTGTTTTGGATGTTCCTAACTGATAGTTTGTGCATTTAAGTGTTGTATCATTGAGATATGAATGAAATGATTATATTTGCGATGGTTGATACTCATACTTGGATGTCATCAAGGGCGGTGGCCCAAAGGCTCAAGTGCAGTGGGCTGGGAGCAAACAGCCAGAAGCTTTGCTTACAAAGCCGTGCCACTTTCAGCTGACCAGAAGCGCTCCAGGGAGTGGATGACCTAGGATGACCTTCCACCAGCATAGCTGGTGACAGGTAATTTAGTAAGCATTTAATTATGTACAGACATGTTCAAGAGCAATAAATCTTTTAAATTTCGCACCGTCCTTCCCCTAGTAAACTAATGTCACCTACAGACAAGTGCTTGCTAAGTCTCGAGAAACCTGTCGTGCATGATGAATGGTATGGGCTACACTTACCACCATAATAATGACTCCTGAACGAAGACTGGTTGCAAACACGCCGCATCTCACCACAGCTTCATCTGCCTGCTCGTAACACACCTACGCAATCTGCCTATGTACTTATAGCCCTTATACATGCTGCTATCTCTCCTGCTGTGCTATAAGCAATTTGTGTTCACGCTCTGCTAATAGTACTACGCCAAGGTGTTGATGTGGTTGAGCAGCCGCAGCGGGAACAGGATCCCACTCAGGATCTCGTACCGCGCACTGCACTGGGGGTACTTCAGGGCGTTCGACAAGTGCGAGGCATCTTGCTGTGCGTTGCATATACAGTTCAGGAGACAGCTCTCGTGCGCGATCAGGGTGCACTTGCACGAGTGGACCCATTGCACCTGGGGCTCCGACGGCACTACATAGGCTGTGAGTGAGCGATGGAAAATTGTGTGGGTTAGCTGCGATGAAGGAGATGCACGGTCATAGTATTCCTCATCATATGTTACAATGTTTTCCTCACCTGCATTATCTACCCAAAGCGACGCCGCTGACACCTCCTTCCCATGCTCCCGTATGATCAATAGTCAATTTACGCAAATTTCGTCCCACAACTGTACCCTAAGAAAAGCCATTGCAGACTGATTATGGTTGATCATGTAGTATATATAATAGGCAATATAATCTGTACGAATGGATTGGATCACGCTTGCGTGCTCGCGACAACGTCTGGGAAAAAGCTCCGCGAAATCGGATGGGGCAGGCGCAAGCCTACTGCACACAAGTTTGTTCGTACCTTGGGAATTAGACTCATAGGCGCCGGCTGGCACATTAGCACAAGCTCTGGTGCAATGGCTGATAGTCACGTAACTTTTGAGCGTGTACGGTTTGGTCCATAACCCGATTCTAGGGGAATCAGAATCAGAGACAGGATCAAGCGCCACGAAGACTAGACTCTGCCGAACATGCACGTGATGACGTGATGCGATGCTTGTTCTGTTCTCAGACTGCCATGACTGCCTGATTCATGCGATTCTCAATATGATTCCCTTGTCGTCAGCCAGAAACCAACGTATGTATTTATGTAGGTTAGAAAGGCTGCTAGTTTTTTTGGTCAAACTCGACATCTTAAATATTATTAGCTTGTATTTTGCGAGATAACTAACAGGGTTTGCTTCGCGACTTATCGCTAGTTATCTCGGCTATAAATAGCGAAGACGGATGGACCGTCCGGACCGTCTGGACAGGGATGGCCGGGAACTTCCGATTCCTGGAGATTCTCAATTTTATTGGCCTGCCAACCAACCAGCATCCTCCCTTCAGCCAGGAAGCATCTGCGATTCAGGGTAACAGGTTTCGCCCCCAGCGCTTACGTGGGCCCCCGCAAACCGCTCGTCGGCTAGTCGCAATGGCGCCGAAGAAACGCTGGGCAGGATTAATAAAGGACAGCGTGCGCCGTAAGAAACGTGCGTGGTGTGAAGAGGCATTCAGTTACTTGTAGGCTATTCTACAACATGGATTCGTTGCGGTAGCCATACAGCCCCTGCTTACACTGTGCGACCTCGGTGGGCAGAAAGTGGGCGCTAAGTACGCCTTTTGATAGAATTACTGTATGCGGCAATATTACCTGAGGACCCCGAGGGTGAGACCATCTAGAGGTAGCTAAGCGAATTGTTTCGATATTAATAAGATCTGAATCGTGGATGCCTCCTGCCTTCAGCGGCCCTAGCATGCCTCCTGTCAAGAGCTGTCATTTTTCCAGGGATCGATGGAGGTGGCCGACCCCTGCTCGTCGACGTCTTTGCTCCAGACTAAATCGTGTCGGACGATGTCCGCAATCCTATACGACGCAGCAGAGGCCGCTTTTGCGTGGTACCTCTCTCGAACCATCACCAGAGGCCGACTCACTCTGCACACTCGCACCCGGACTCACTGTTTCCCGACCTCACTACTCTGCGCAGAGGACAGCGAGCTTGGTGCAGAGCTCACAGTTCACGATCCGGCGTTCTTCCTGAAGGTCCTTTCGCCGGCCGCTTCTCCAGATCTCGTGTTCGCGGAAGCATACATGCGAGGGGATGTCTCATTCAAGTCGCGTCGGGACATGGCCAGGTTTTTTGAGGTATTCCCATGAGCCGCGTGACCAAGATTTGGCTACTGAGCAGGAGGTCTCAGATTTTTGCTATCAACCGTGATAATCCTTTGCCTTCGCTTCCTGTGCCAATCTCTTCGATGCTTGCAATTCCCGGCTCTCTGCTGAAAATTCCCGCCCGAATCATTGAGCGTCTAGTGTCAGAAGGCACTCTTGCTATGGCTCGTCGCAACACCAGCGCGCACTACGATCTGGGGAACGACATGTTCAAAGGTATGTCTCACTCTAGCAACTGCCTCAACATACGACTAAATGTGGGGGTCCAGTATTCTTGTCGAAGGATATGACGTACTCTTGCGCCATATTCCCATCGCTCGACGCGGACGACAAGCTGGCTAGCAACGAGACCAGTCCACGCATGGGGTCCAATGTCGTGAACGGCACATCTGACATGCCTGACGCACTGCACGATGCACAGATACGCAAGCTCCAGCACATCATATGCAAAGCGGATATACAACCAGGTCATCGCGTGAGTAACACCCTTCTCAGACACATATATGCGCCTAGAATGACAACTCTGACTCGTGCAGGTCCTCGAGATTGGTTCCGGCTGGGGCTCGCTTGCGCTGGAAATTGTGCGCACAATCCCGGGCACGACGGTCGACACCATCACGCTCTCAACCGAGCAGGCGGAGTACATCCACGCGCTCCTCCGGCAGGAGCGTCAAGAACGCCTGCGTGACACTGGCCACTGCATGTTCGACTATGACGCAGCGACGCAGCCCATCGGCGACCGCGTGCGCGTGCACCTCATGGATTTCCGCGTCATGCCGCAGGAGTGGGCGGGTGCGTTTGATCGTGTTGTCAGCGTGGAGATGATTGAGGCCATCGGGCGTGACATGTACGAGGTCAGTATTCCAGTGCTGCACGCCATCAGCCGGGATACTGTTGGCTGATTCGTGCTGCAGACGTACTTCGCCGCGATAGACTGGGCGCTGAAGAAAGACACGGGCGTCGGCGTCGTGCAGGCCATCACCATTCCCGAGGGGCGGTACGACGCATATATCAAGGGCGAAGACTTTATTCGGAAATACGTGCGTTCTTCTCTCTTTTCTCCCGTCCCACCCATTCGCTGACTGCGAACCCTTCAGAGTAAGCAATGACACAGTCTCTGTCTCAGATTCTCATTCACCCATCCGTACTCGCAGTCTTCCCCGGCGGCGTACTCCCGACGCTGACGCAGCTCACTCACGCAGTAGTCTCCGGCTCGTCGCAGCGCCTCGTGATCGACTCCGTTGCGAACATCGGCCCGCACTATGCGCGGACGCTGCGCGAGTGGCGGCAGCGGTTCGAGGCGGGGTTCCGCGACGTCGAAAATGGTGAGCGTATCGTTCTGGCTACCCTCGGTCTGAGACCGAGTCTTGCGCTGACGGCGGTTGCATGGATGCGCAGCGCTGAAGGCGAAGTACCCCGATGTGATGAATGACACACCTGCGGGGCGCGAGGAGATCGCGAGATTCAGGCGCAAGTGGATTTATTACTTGTGCGTGGTGCATCGCTGCCCTTGCGTGTTATCGCTGACAAAGCAGTAACACAGCTGTTATTGCGAGGCGGGCTTCTCGAGGCGGGTGCTCGGAGGTACGCCCACGTATAGTACACATTTGAGACTGGCGCGCCTTATGCCTTGTTGTTCGCAGATCATATCATTACGTTTATCAGAGACGGGAACGTTGCGTACGGCTGCCAGATCTTCGCTTAGGTTTCGTTGTATGCATATATCCACTGATGTGAGTTTTAACCCTTGAGCGCGTTGGCCCAAAGCGCTACGCATGTGCAGCCGCCACAGATATTAAGGCCAGAGTCAGATAGACCATCGTAGAGATAGACCGCCATGTTGCACCTGTTGTTGTCATAAATAGATAACGTATTGTTATAGGAAATTTTAATGCTCGCAACATTGACTCCGCCCTTGCCTGGTGGGTCGGACTTGTAAGCCGCAGCAGATATCGACTCTCTTTTTCGCTCTCTCTTCCCCTTCGTGCTGTCGCCGGTAAGCAGAATCAGTGTCAGTGTGTTCCAGCAAGCAGACTGTATGCGCCTTTCGTGGTCTGCAAGGCGGCCACGACTTGCTTCACACGTGGGGAACATCTATGACGGGCCACACTTCAGAGGGTCGGCCTTGCCATTACATCAGGCATGGACTGGCGCGGCCGCGCGTGCATGTCATCTCTCATCTCCCCCCGTGCTGCTTCAGAGTCTCAGCCCATCCTGGGTGATACTTTATCCATAGCATTGACCTATCACAGCGGAACAGTCACAAGCCACTCCTCCAAGATTACGTTGACTTCATCCGCCCGCTCAAGATGCAGATAGTGCCCCGCGGGGACACTCGCGGTGCGGAGCGCCGACGCATACTTCTGCATCTGCGCAACACCAGCGGACTCACGACAGAGGTAGTCCTTGGACGCACCGACGAACAGCGAGGGAACCTTAATCTTGTGCGCATCCTCCGGGATTCCTGCATTCAATCATAAATTCAGGCTTTGGCGGCAGCAGAAGAGAGGAGAGCAAGGGACGTACTGGTATTTTCCTCGTGGTCGTTGCCCTCAACTTCATTGACATACCACAGCAGCGACGAGGCGACGCCGTGCGTGAGAAGGTCTTGTTTCAATTTATCGTACTCCTAGACGCGCAGTATTAGTCCGGCAGTATCTGGCGCAGCGCGCTACGCACCCCAGAAGACAGCCAGTCAGGGCGTCCTAGTAGGATGTTATTCTCAATACACTCGGCCGTTTTACCGCGCTGTTCCAGCCACGTCAGCCAGCTCTCGGCATCCCTCGGGTACACCAGCTGGATGAAGCTATCAATCTAGCATGATATCATTCAGTCAGGTGCGAGATCAAGAGCCTGAGCTTAGGGACGTACGTGCTTATGAATGAGTTCCGCAGCGTCCGGCCGAGTAAGAAACTCCCAGTACGCGTATATTTCGCTGTCTGGCACAAGGTCGAGTGGACGCAGGTTCGCAGGGCGGAAGCCAAGCCCGAGCCACGCGAGACCGTAGAACCGATCCTGATGCAACATCGACAGACGCGACAAGAATATGCTGCCCCTGCAGACATCCATCGCTGGTCAGCTGACGTGTGAATACGCATGACAAAGGCTCGGGCGTACCAGTCTGTCGCTATGCCGACAACCTTGAGGAGACAGAGCGCGTCGAGGATGTCAACGATGTCCTGTGCAACTGCGCCGAGGCGGAAGGCCTTCGAGTCCGTGGGCTTGGATGTCGCGCCTGCACCGAGCAGGTCGGGCACAAGCAGCCCAAAGCCGCGCGTCTCAAAGTGTCTGACCTGCTTGCGCCAGTCGTATGAAGTGGATGGAAAGCCGTGGAGGAAGAGCAGCGTTGGCTTGCCCTCTACCGTCGGAGGGGTATAGTAGACGTTGTACGCAAAGCTGCGTGCGACGGTGAATACGCGGTACTTTGTGTTGTCCATCGTGGAGATGGGGGCTCGATGTGTAGGCAAGTGGGCCTTATATGCTACAAAAGTAGCCATCTGCGTGAGATAACAGATGAATGTTCCAGGCATAGTTCACTGCACGTTCGCTCCGTGCCTGGTCGACGGCATGACCGACGGTTAGGCGCGCAGACACCAGAGATTTGGGTGGCATATCACCGATTTCGTTGAAGTAGGAATTGTTTCTTGACATCGCACTGCGGCATTGCATGTCAACCTGCCGCCGGGGAGGATACGGGCGGCTGTAGTGGCCTTATCCTAAAATTCATGCGTTAATTTCATCTACAGTTTTGAGAACTCAACGTCTCGCACCATGGATATCTTCTTGAAGGCAAACGGCACCTTTGATACTAATAGGGGCCGGTACAGTTCCTGCCAGCTTCCCTGAATGGGACCCAGCGTTGATGGGAGGGTCGATAGACGCGCGCTCAGAACTGGTGACCCCGGATACCTCAGATCGTGATTAGTGGTGCCAAGGAACGGTCCTTTGCACGCTCAAGATCGCTACTTGTAGCGATAAACCAGCATTATTACGATCTATGTTTGGAATAATAGATAAATAAAAGAAGTCTGAAGTGCGCTACTGCGGGTCGCCGTGCCAATGTACCCACGAGATACCTACCGTACCCATTCACGCGCCATCGGGTGTATCAACCCCCGAGGAATGGAACAAGGTGCCGCCTCCCACCGATGTGCTTACTGAGAGCTCCACCCAAGTGTTAAATTGTTCTATTATCGGAAGCATGCTAAGCACGAGGAAAAGAGGGTTGCGACCAGAACTTAAAGTAGGAGTCAGATAGGCCCCCAGGGGGAAGGGGAGCATCCCAAACCGGTGTTCCCACTTCCCAGTCACAGTACCCGCAATAACTTGTGCCTGTAAACTTGCAGTAAAGTGTACGCCTACACGCAGGCTCAGCCCTGAGAATGGCACCACACGTCCGCAACTGGACTTCTGGGACAAGTATCGAGTTAGTCTAGCTGGGAAGGCGCACTAATGGTGATACGTGCGTTCCCACATGTGCAGCACTTGTGTTTATGCGTTGTCCGATAACGAGTCTCATGCAGCTTCCGCTCGTCGACGATGGCACTCGGTCCGCGAAAGCCGAATCTTAACCATAAGCGGCCGTAAGTACATTCATTGTGCAGTATATGCGACATAAAGGGCCGCCTCTGCTAACACTCACTCTGTTCAGCCGATATTGCTACGTAAGAGAAAGGGAACTTGCTAGTGTTGCCCTATGCCTACAACCTTGCGCAGAGATCGAGCATGTCGAGTGCAATGTAGATACTAGACAGCCACAAAGGGGAGCAATGTTGACTTGTCTTCTGCCGCTGGAGGGGCAAGGCGCAGAGAACGACCATCCATAACGGACAGCGGACGAGCGTTCCGGGCGCCGTTCACAGTATGTTCACTCGGACAGTGGATAGCGGCACTATCGGTAGCTAGGAAGACAAAATTTGGGACGCGAGTCACATACCACTCATCGCCGCGCTTCATAGCTTTTTTTTGCACCACCTCCATGGCGCCATACATGGCGCTGGTTGAATTTCCAGAAGGATATCGAATAACATGTTAGAGCATATAGCACAATGGAAAGTAGCTCTCACCGAGTATCGATTCACGCTAGCTTTGATAATTACGGAGACAGGGTCCGCGGAGACTCGTGTATGTACAAGGAATGAGCATTCCGTGGCAAAGTTCAAACCTAGTGGGCTGCCCGTTAGGGTGATCGTGCATGAGATCCATGTGGGAAATGTATAAGCATTATGGCCTTGTTATGTAGTAGCAACGAGCTATTTAGACTCACGACTTGAAGCGCTTGGCAGTCTTCAGAGTTTGAAAGACGAGAGGCAAGTTGCGGATGGGTCCAAGTGCCAGCCAATAGTAGACTCGGGTTTGATCCCGGTGACCCCAGGCACCGCGGACCGTGATGGCGACTTCCAGAAAGGGTCCCCGGCTGTGTGTTCAGATTACCGTCCTATTGTTAGGAGCATGAGATGAGCTAAGGTTTAAGCGGAAGGCCAGCATAGAGTTGAACCTGGGAGACCTTATGACTTGAAGTGCGCACCCAGCGATATACCGTGATGTCTCCGGCGACTCGCGGCGAAATGGCGCAGTTTATAGCATCTATTACTCCTGTATTTGCATTTCGTCGTGTTTATATTTGGAGATCTGTCTAAGAACAAATTCACGCTACCGTAATTTGGTTGCCATAATCAGGGTTCAGTATTAGCTCGCCTGCCAATGGCGCGACATGCTATCATGTGCGCGTCAGCCCAGAAGAACGGCGGTGTTATGTTCAATGTATCGTTGTGGTACGCGTATACACAGGTGATAACGATAGATACCCTTCGCCGCCAGACCATTGACAAAAAACTACGTCTTTCCTGGTCCGCAGATATCAAATTTTATGTATGAGACTTGAGCGTGGCGCAATCCTGCAAGAGTAGCTGCGGTAGCGCCACGTTCATCTCAATCATGAGCGCTGAGCCCCTACTGCATCCTGCAATGAGTCGCTTAGGTGCCATTACGAGTAATCACATCGGGACGTTTGCGAGCCACTCCTCTATAATCCTGTTGACCTCGTCCCCGCACTCAAGCTGGGGCCAATGCCCCGCAGGGACGCTCGCAGTCTGGAGGGCCGTCGCATACTTCTGCATCTGCGTGAGATTGAACGACTCGATGCAGAAGCAGTCCTTGGACGCGCCAACTAAGAGAGAGGGGACCTTGATCGTGTACGCGTCCGTGGGAATTTCTGTCGTACAGCGTCAGAATGCAATGGAGAGAAGGGCAGAGCAGAGGTAAACGCACTCAGGTTCTCCTCGAGGTCGTTGTTCACGACCTGGTTGACGTACCACAGCAGAGAAGAGGCGACGCCGTGTGTGAGGAGGTGCTGCCTCATTATGTCGTACTCCTGAGTTGACGAGGTCAGCCTATGCCGGGTAATAGCATGCTCGAAGTATTCGGCACCTCATCAGAAATCCAGTCTGGGCGTCCGAGCAGGACGTTGTTCTCGATGCACTCCGCCGTCTTGCCGCGCTGGATCATCCACGTCAGCCAGGTCGTGGGGTCCCGTGCATACGCCAGCTGGATGAAGCTGTCGACCTGGATGCGGTTCTGTGCTTAGTACACGCACACCACGGAGAGCTCGAGGACGCACGTTCTGATGAATGATCTGCGCAGCGTCTGGCTGCGTGAAGAACTCCCAGTACGCATACATCTCGTAGCCGAAAGCGGCCTTCGTTTCTGTCATGGCGCCCTGCAGGTCAAACGGGCGCACGATTGGCTCGCAGAAGCCGAGCCCGAGCCACACGAGACCGCTGAAGCGCTCTTGGTGCAGCATCGACAGGCGCGACATGAGTATGCTGCCCCTGCCGGGTTCCCTTTCGTTCAGCCGTCATTGCTACACATGTAAGAGAGGAGGCGTACCAGTCGTGTCCGACGCCGATGACCTTGCGGAGACCAAATGCGTCAAGAATATCAACGACGTCCTGTGCAAGCGCACCAAGGCGGAAGGCCTTCGAGTTCGTAGGCTTGGATGTTTCGCCTGCACCAAGCAGATCAGGCGCGAGCACACCGAAGCCATGCGCCTTGAAGTGCACTATCTGCTTGCGCCAGTCGTATGAGGTGGACGGGAAGCCGTGGAGGAACAGCAGCGTTGGTCTGCCCTCCGTTGCTGGTGAAGTGTAATATACGTTGTATGCAAAGCCGCGTGCGACAGTGAGCGTGCTGTATTGTGTCGAATCCATCGCTGTGATGTGGAATCCAGCCGTGGGCTTGCGAGATGTCTTATATGTTACAGCCAGTGAGGTTATGATAGTCGCCTGTGAACAATGACAGACGAACGTTTGAGGTGCACCGCACAAGTCCGGCGTAGTCGAAAAGAAGCTATTAGGGTCGCTACTCTGCTCGAGAGAGACGTCGTGCTCGCTATGGGTGCAAACCTGGAACTCCTGTGGCGACGGTCTCTACGGCAGAGAGTAATTTGCCGCGTTAAGTGAATCATCATTGACGAGCGTTAACCCTGATATGACTCGCACTGCGCAGACAATTCATGTCCGGAGCCGTCACATTCCGAATGACGATCAAGCGGCTCCGAGGTGACCGGTGAGCTGTGAAGACGACTATGAGAGAGCATGCATGGTTACTTAATGGCACAACTACAAGGACTATAGATGCTGCATAAACAGGAGGAACATGGACAGAGCCAAGGACAGAGCGGCGAAAGCCGTCTCTTGAGCAACATCAAGCCAGTCTTGGGGTCTCGGTGATGCGCCTGGCGTGCGTCTATTTATTAATGACCCCGAATACCTCGGACCGTCTCTAGTGTCACTGTCGTCATGTGCATATATTGTCTAACACGCCACGCGTACCGCAATGCAGAAAGGCAGAACAATTTATCTTCCAGAAACACTAGAGGCAAGTGTCATAATCGTCCACGTGTATGCCGAGCGTGCCGATGTCATTCATAACACCGTTGCCAGAAACACTGAGGCGGAACTTCCATGAATCGAGCTGTAATTTCCTTCATCCTCTTGAGATGAAGGAACTTATAATATGATTCGCGGTAGTTCAACTTCAGAGTTTTGAGACACCAGCTCGCCTCAGGCGTGTGTCTGGCATAAAAGCCAGCGAAGATGCAGAGGAGATACTCAGGGAACAGACTGACGTTAGGCACTTGTGGAGGAGAGAAGAAAATTATATATATGCAGTGAAATCATATGCAGGGAACAAAAAATGAACTTGCGCGAGCAGTGAGCACTTACAGCAGAGTCCGATTAGCGAGCGCTGGTGTCTGTAGCACTAAAGCTCAGTAAACGCAGCTCACTCTGGTACTCACTTGCTCATGCCCACACTCGCTGCGTGCTGACTCAAATCGTGACTCGGAGTGCGTTTCAGAGGAGGTGGGAGAAGCTCTCGGGGAATGGTGGAAGGATGTTTCATTCAAAGGCATGAGATCACCTTTATAGTATGTCTAAACGCCGTGGGGACGAGATCTGGAAGGCAAGGGAGGAAGGGCAAGTGTCCAACGATGGAAAATAAGTGGCGGAATCCGGCTTTAGGAAGCATCTGACATTCTGACGCGCAATGATTAATGACTGCGTGTACTCTTCGCGCAACTGGCCCCTCAGTACTTGCACGCGGGATCCTGTCGCCCTCACTTCGCCGGACACCCTACTGTTTGCGAGATATCGTGTTCTTCCTGCCTTCCAGGTTAGATGGCTATCCATCGTCCGCCTACACGCAAAGAAAGGTCAAGCCGAAAGTGATGAGATAGATGGGAAGGAATGTCTTGGCTCAGCTGTGTTGTAGTATCTGAGGCGCCGGATGCGCATCAGCCGCGCCGGTAGGGATACCGACATGACGCGCTTAGGTCGTCATGCCCAATATGGATCTGTCATGCCCGTTTTAGATATGACCCGCGCAGAGCACTCTCGGCTCTGCGCCCTCGTTATGCTTCCTCTTAGTCTCAGCTTCCTAAGGTACATTTTATTGGTCTGACCAGATTAGGAAGTAGATAACCTATATAAGAACATGTAGTATTATTTTTGGATTTTATCCTTGATTACTCGTGAATCCCCCGCCTGCGCGAAGTCTTTCACAACAGGTTATGAGCCCCGCGCTCTAATCATCGGTCACCGACATCACCTGCAGGGTCAACGCGACCCTTTTCCACTGTTGATCAAACCTTGATCGACCCTGTGATACCACGTCCAGAACGAACTCTATCTAGGCGCCGCCGTAGACTGTTGTTCTCGAGAGTATGGACAGTTCCCCAAAGATTGAAGCCCTGAAGGGCACGGAGAACTACTTTTCCTGGAACATTCAAATCCAAGACGTTCTCACACTCGCTTCGCTGTTAGAATATCCCAAGGGTTACGAAGACCCTACCTGCTGATGCGCTCTGGCAGCTGATTGGCAGACGAAAGACCGGAA